TCAAGTTAAGGTCGCCGAGATAGTCGATTCTAAGATCGATCGACGATGCAAGTGCAAGCTCCTCTACTATGTTCGATGGTATGGTTATGAGAACACGAATGAGGAGTTCTCCTGGCAGCCAGCCGATGAACTCCCGAACGCTCAAGAACTAGTCCAAGAATTCCACAAGGCATATCCCAACAAGCCAGGCCCTTTGCCGGTTTGACCTCCGTCCTCTTCTGTTTTTCACTCGTTCGACCCATCTGCACTTCTCTATTTCTAAGTTTATATCTCTTCCATTTATCTTCCGTTCACTTCTGTTTTGTGCCGTTCACTTCTGTTCAACCCTTCGTTCAAGAAAATTCAAGTCATAAAAATTTCAAGTCAACAAAAAAATTTCTATATACAATTATGTACTTTTTCATAGCCGTTCCTTGTCGCCCCATACCTACTGGCTCACTCCCTCTCCTGTTCCCTCTTCCAGTCCCTTTTCCTTGTCTTCCTCCTTCTTCTCCGCATGGGCCTTTTCGTAGGCCGTGACGAACCGAGTCAAGAGCCGGTTGGTCACCTCGAGTTGCTCGAGGACCGCCCGGCTCATCGACTGTTGCTGCCGGCGCATCTTCTCCACGGACCACGCCAGGTGGACCATTGGGTCGTCCGATGCTTTGGCCTGCTCCCTCCTCTGCCTCCTTCGCACCTGGTCCACCCCAACAGCTGCCGCCCGACACGTTCGTTCGCGGCTAGGCCCGGCTCGCGGCATTTCCTCCTCTTCCACCCTCACTCTCTTCAACCTTCCCTCTGGCTCGAAGTCCCCTTCGTTGTCATCGTCCCGCTTCCTCTTGCCATCGTTGTTCTTCTCAAGCCGGTCACGCATCCACTTCGTAGCCAGCAGCACGCACGTAATCTTGGCGCGCATGCAAGCCGGGCACAAGACACCGGGGAATATTGGCACATGTAAAATCATGATAAATGACTAATCCCCCACATCAGTATCAATGTAAATACTTACCAAATCCACATATCGCACCCATTCAATGGTGTGTTAGGGTCAGAATAATGTCCCTTAACATATTTCAGTAGTGACGGATGAGGCTCCGATGCCTGGGGTATTAGAGAATGAGCTGAAAATGCACAAAAAACACGAAAATAATTAAAATGGGTACCTTGGACTTGTTCAAAAATTACCAAACTTCATATATGAGGAGTTATTAGCATTCTAAAGGGACTGCAAAAGACCGGATGAGATTCCGAGCAGTAGGTGCAAAGATATGAGAAATCAACTCCCAAAGCACCACTTGCATCACAAAGTTGTGACAGGATGTTCATGCTCTTGCTGTCATTCTGATACCTTTGCTCATATCTTTGCACCTACTGCTCGGAATCTCATCCGGTCTTTTGCAGTCCCTTTAGAATGCTAATAACTCCTCATATATGAAGTTTGGTAATTTTTGAACAAGTCCAAGGTACCCATTTTAATTATTTTCGTGTTTTTTGTGCATTTTCAGCTCATTCTCTAATACCCCAGGCATCGGAGCCTCATCCGTCACTACTGAAATATGTTAAGGGACATTATTCTGACCCTAACACACCATTGAATGGGTGCGATATGTGGATTTGGTAAGTATTTACATTGATACTGATGTGGGGGATTAGTCATTTATCATGATTTTACATGTGCCAATATTCCCCCTCCTGGATGTCAATAGAATATCTTAGCTTGTGGGAACTTGGTCAATAACCCAGCTTCCAGGCAATATAAAATTATGATAAAATATGTTAAATTCATGGATAAATATGCACTATTCACGTACCAGGTTTCAGACTTTCAGGTCTACGTTTAGTGGGGTATTTGGAGTGGGCCTCCTGGTGTACCTATACCCCCCCTCATATCTACTACACCCAGACACCCCCTGGCATTATCAATGGTACTATTATTCTCAGACATGTATTCCATGATTTTTGGCCAAGCTAAATGGCCCTAAATGTGCCTGAGGATGCATGGGTGCACCATGCATTATAGTAGCCAAAATTGTGTTTGCCATATCTCAACGAGTTCTTACCCGTTTCACGCGATCAAAGGGTCTACAGGAAGGTATTAATGTATCCAACATTTCGCTCAGCCAAAGCTAAGCGAAATAATGCGATGGGGAGCCAGAATTATGCACGGATGTGCAGGCATCACAATACTGCCAAATTTGGCAAAGTGCATCAAACCCTGCCGCACACTATTCCCAGCTATGTGGCGCACCCCATAATTCATAATAAATGCTCAAAATATTTATGAAGCACCCCCCACCATAGATACAAAGGTCCCCAAAGTTTCACGGCGAAATATTAAGTTTTCAATTTGATATTCAATTGTTTTGTATTAAAAATGCAAAAGACTCTGGATTTTTCGCGTTTTTGGCTCCCCCAGCCCATCCCGCACCCCGTGGGGGCCATGACAATTATTAGCATGCATATCTAGCCCCGCCCAACCCATTTTTAGGCCCCCACCGCACCAAGAACCCACCCCACCATCCCACTAGCCCCTATCATGCATCCTCCACCATCCCTGCCTGTTTCGGACGGATTTCCCACCCCTTTCCCACCCCTCCTGCCCCCTGCAGGCCTACCCTACCCCTACCCCACCCCGGGAGGGTTGTTTGGTCATTTATTTACCCCCTCCCACCCCCAAACAAATCCCTATAGCCCTGGCATCTCCGGCAAACTCACCCCAGCAGCCTCGGAGAGCCTGACTGGTCAAACACAGTCTGGACTTATGAATTTACCTTGTCTAAACACTGGTTTTGATATATGTACCTAGCTTATAGAAGTGTCATCCCTGTCCATCTCATGCTGAAGAAGCTGGTGACACGCACGGTGTATCGTGTCGCTACCCTCTCAGACACTCACCCCCCGTGCTCTATGATGGGCAAGAGACTCCTCAAGTGGGCTGAACCCCATGCCTGCTCTGCCACCTTGATGACCCCAGCTATGCAAGAGAAAGTCAAGAGTACTGTCATGGAGATAGACGAACATGTCCACACCTTAACTGAGAGCTTTGAGCCCTTTGCGCCCGAAGCTCGCCCTGGTGACTGGTTACTGGACCGCTATGTGGACTGTCTCCACTTCGACAAGCGCGATCCTACTCAGGATAGGTGCCCATATCTTGATGAGCTCATTGCAAATGCGAAGGCCGACCCATTAACAGTACTGGCTGCGGCTGATGGCACTGTCCCTCAGTCTAACCAGTATCAGGTGACTTTGGCCGCTATCATCTACAAGGGACATCGCAAGCTCGAAAGGACTTGTTATGTCTCTGGCAGAGTTACCGCTCCAGATGCGGAACTCAATGCCATCATGTGTGCAGTTTGCCTTGCTGTCAAACAGGCAAACTGTCAACATATTATGGTCTTCACTGACTCTATGGCCATGGAGATGTTGGACCTGACATTGATCTGTGGAGGCAGTCATTGAGTTGTTGGAGCTGACATTGAGTTGTGGGGGACTGACATTGAGCCATGAGGGAGCAGCTTCCAGTTACTGTGGCCAATGTTGAATCAGCAGGCCAGCATCAAGACATGGGGCCTATTATCAACTTGTGTGATGCAACAGAGAACTAGCAGGTGAGTAAGGAAGAGTGGAAGAAGAGATAGTCAGTCACTCACTGCATTGGGCATTCAGTCTCTGGCTACTCGGGTCTCCAGCTACTCGGGTCTCCCTTTGTTTTCCTCCTCCTCCAGTCAGCCCTTCAAAATGTGCCCTGTCCCTCATTGGAAGGCACAGGTGCATGGTGTAGATATCTATAGTAGAAGAGGGAGATGAGGAATGGTGATAGTAGCAGCAGAAGAAAGAAAGCGATGATGTAGCATGCAATTATGGCCAGCACAAGTCACCTGATCATTTACCTTACTGTCTACAAATGAAATAGTATTCACATACTCTACATTATATTTATGGGTACTGTATTTTTCTCCTGTATTTTACATTAATTACACAAGTTATTTCATGAGAATTGAATAAGAATTGACAGAGATATGTAATGTGCAAGATGAGGTGGAGCAGCTGTGGTGGCTTTGTTTGTTTAGCCAAACATATGACGCACGAAAACTCTCCAGGAGTTTTCGTGCGTCATAGCTGTCAAACTCTGCTCACATGACCTAGCAAGTCACATGTTCTTCTACTACAGAAACAGTGTCTCTATATCTCTGCAACAGCTGCAGCTACAGGTCTGAAATGTTATATACCATGAGGCGATGTTCAGAGAAGCTTACATAAGCAGTTTCACATGTTCAGGGGTGCTGTGGGATGAGATATTACATGTTTTAAATGCAGAAAACCCACACCTCCATATCTCAACACCTACTCATGCTACAGGTCTATAATTTTGGGGCCAACATCACTTATATTATATCTACCTGTTTACAAATTTTCAGGTCTGTTGATGTTCTTGATGCCAAGATATTGTGATATGCCCATTGTTTTAATGCTAAAAACCCACACCTCTATATCTCAACACCTACTGGTACAACCAGTCTATAAATTGGAGGCTATTATTAACCATATTATATCTACCAGTGTACCAATTTTCAGCCCTGTTGATTATCTGGATGCCAAGATATTGCAATATGCACATTGTTTTTGTGCAAAAAACCTGCACCTCTATATCTCAACACCTACTGATGCTACAGGTCTATAAATTTGAGGCTATTATCAACCATATTAGATATACATCTTGTTATGACCTGTGCTGAGCCAAGGTGTGCCAGAGACTGGGTGCGTTCGGATGTGCTTTGGAAGAGATTTCGGATGTGGACTTTGGCTTCAATGTTCGTGCATTGCGCCCTCGAGATAGTCTAAGTCCGATTTCAGAGTATAGGCTTTTAGGCCGGTGTCGGATGTCGAACGGATGCGAGCGGATGAGAACGGATGAGAATGAGAGGAGGAGATTAGAAGTCGAGTATGATATTCAGACTGCCGGACTCGGTCGTCCTGCAGTCCCTTAAATACTACAGCAAATAATGGACTACCTATGACAATGAGCCGTCGGCTGTCTAACTCGTGGAGGGAACGTGTATGCTAATGACAATAGAATAATGAGGCACGTGTACACTAGGAAAATCAAAGACAAATAACAAACAAAAGAACAATATAATCGAAGAACCGAAACAGCTATGAACGGATGTCTCTCGGATGTCTTCAGCACGGAATGGGTCGTGACACATCTGTACTGACTTTCAGGTCTGTCAATGGTCCGAGTGCCAAGATATTGCAATATGTGCATTTTTGGGTTTTTAGTAATTTAAATATGCAGCCATAAATAATGAATGTACATCTACAAACTCTATATTCTCTAATAACCCTCTGTATCCTACATAATGCTGCCAAGGTGTTCCAGTGCTCTGGTCCTTGCCAGGGGTAGAGATTTGAGTGCACATTTTCAGCTATTTTTAGAAATCAGCACTATTCAGTCAATTGTGCACACAATTCTGTGCATGATGCTGATATTGTGGAGTCAATGTAACTGGATATTATGACTCCTCATTAATGCAGATTTGTTTTAGCTAGGGGATGTCTGGGAGAGAGGCCAGTGAAGCCACACTTTCATATTTTTAGGGGTGTGAAGCATTAGTTTGACTATAGATCTACCAGCAACTTCGGCCGCTATAATCTACAAGGGACATACAAGGGACATCGCAAGCTTGAGAGGACTCGCTACATCTCTGGCAGAGTTACCACCCCAGATGCAGAACTCAATGCCATTGCATGCACAGTGCACCTTGCTGTCAAGCAGGCGAACTGCCAACATATTATGGTTTTTACTGACTCTATGGGCTCAGCCCATAAAGCGGTTGACCCCAGCATGCATTCAGGTCAGGCTTTTAGCCTGTCTGTTTGTTGCGCTCTTCAAGTGTGGTTCGAGGCAGATGATCTCTGCCGCATCACCTTCGTCTACGTTTCTTCTGCACTGCGCTGGGACATCCATGGTAAGGCACACAAATACATCACCGAACTCAGAGTCAGGGTTGGACATCGCAAGATGGACAACTCCATAGACACGCTTCGCTCTCAAGCTGCGCACTCAAGCCTGGATGCATGGGGTTCCATGTTCCAGGATCATACATACCGAGGCTCCAAATTCTTAGAGCTTCAATGGCCTGACAGGCGGACGATTCAGCCATCATACTCCAATGGGGGACCTTGGCTTTCAACATTCAGACACAGTATCACTGAGTTCGCTCGCATCTGCCAGTGCATAACTGGCCATGCGCCCATTGGAGCGTATTATCGTCGCTTCAAGATCAATGAGCCTCATGGCTGCACTTGCGGGGCTGCTCTGCAGTCTCGCCAGCATGTTCTCTTTCGCTGCTGCGATAGATATTCTGTACACTATCCCCGTTTTCTCAGGGATATTGCATCGTTTCTGAAGCACAGCCCTACAGTGTTTGGCTTCAACCAGGACCCTTCAGGTGTCGGATAAGCATCGTGGGCGGGGTTATTCCTCCTTTTGGAGGATTTATCAGTGAATTGACACCCTCAAACCTTAGGGTTCGGAGACCTGTGCCCACAACAACCCTCTCATGCTTGCGGCACCTGTATCCACTATAAAAATATAGAATTATTAGACAGTTTCCTAAGTCCATGTCTATGCCCGGGTGGGCAGTTGCCTAACTTCCATTTTAGGATGCCCCCACATAGGCTGCCGGGTGTCCGACACTGCTGATTGAGAGCGGGAGGTGTAAACAACAACCAAACACAGCTCACTGTGGCTGCATGGCCTCAAACATGGGTGCTGCTCATCGTTGGGTGCACGTCGGGTGTTGGGAATGCCGCTGTTGGGAATTCCTTAATTGTTTTCTCCCAAAATTGGTCTTTCCGTGCATCAAGGAGCATCAGAATGGGGTGGATGGATGCTGGCACGTTTGGATGATGTTTCACCCACCATCCCGGACCTTCTGTGATGACATAAACCTTCTGTCATCATGGTCAACATCCTTCGACTTTGCTCATTGTCGTCCGCCACAGCGTCCAGCAACCTTGGGCCACCCAAATATTACACAGAAAATCACAAAAAAAAGGAGAACTAAACTGAGCAAATTTCATGATAGTAAATTATGTATTTATTGTCTTGTGGAATCTATGAAATTAATAAGAGCTAAAGAAACATTACGAACAAGCAACATGACTTCTAAGCTAAAGGGAGGAGTTGAGAAGACAGCTGAAAGCATACATACAATCGTCGACGGCGGAAATCCATGCTGTGCACTTACCAGCTTTGTCCTGGATGGCTATTTCCCAGTAGAAGAGGACAGCCATCACACTTCGAAGACCGTTCAGCCCTGGCCTTCGCAGCTCCTCCCAATCTTCTCCAACGGACCCACGCAATAGTTCGTCTCCCTCTGAAATCCTCCACTCAGGTTGAAGTGATGTCCACCAAGTCTTGAACCCATGCTCATACTTGTTGAGGTTGGCAATATTGGGATGGTACTTGGGCGACTGCGCTCATGCAATCCACTCCTTGACAGCAGCTGGCTGTGAGTCACAACCCAGATACTTAATCTTGGTGTAGCCCTCCTGCTGCTCGAAGGCCAACCAGGTCTTTACCAATTTGGTCCATATCTCGTCCGAGTACTCGCTTTGGAGCATTCCCAATGTCGACATGAACCAGTCTGGTGCATCTGCCTGGGCGACGACTTGGCCTGTGGAGGTGTCCAGCGGTGGTGCGGTTGCGATGGTCTTGGTGCACATGGCTTTCTGAGGACATTTGGCTGACTTCGAGAGCTTTGGAGCTTGTGTTGATGTCACTGTGCTGGGGGCGTCACTCGTGTCTACACCTGATGCAATGGTGCCACTGCCATGGAGACATTTTGATGCTTGCAGAGGCTTGGCAGCTGTCCCAATGCCTGTGCTGTCTGTTGGAGACAAGGTGACAGGTGTGGTTGCAGTCTTCCTCTTCCTCTTCACTCCTGTCGCCCCAGTACCATGACCCGATTTCCTCCTCTTCGCAGTGCCCTTCCCAGTCCCGTTACAAGCGGCTCCAGTTCCAGCACTCTCGACAGCGCAATCCTCAGTCTCCAATGTAGTGGTCCGTGAGCGTCCTTTCCTCTTGCGGGAGGCGGGCATCCCCAACAATTCCTCTGTCGTCGACTTCTGGAGGTCAGAGGCCACCACATGTGTGTCTGGCTCTGCGATGCTTGGCACAGGTGAAGGGGCACGCAATGGTGGTGGAGACGGTTGTGGGGATGCCAGAGGTGACACCATTTGAGAAGCTGCTTGACCAGCTATTGGGGTAGCTAAGGATGTGGCGGCAACAGGAGGATGGGCTGTCATAGAATCTGTTGCAGTAGGGGCTGGAGGGGGGACACCCAAGGCAGGTGCTACGGTGGCTTGTTGCGTCTCTGTTTGAGATGGGGTTGATGAATGCGAGTTGGAATTTTCGGTCATAGAAGCAGAAGAGGTGGCGGTGGAAGGCAGAGAGGGTAGAGAGGCAGATACTGAGCCAGTCGTTTGGGCCTCAGCTGATGGCGGGCCAGGTGAACCAGTCGTTAAAGGTTCAGTTGCTGATGTCATCTTGGGCTCGAATGAATCAAAGTCTATGTTGTCTGCAAGGTCAAATGCCTGAAGTGGCTCGAACCCATCCTCCTGGGGTAAAGCATGCGAATGACACTCTTCCAGTGCTGATAGGATAAGGTCATAATTAGGCGTTGGACATTGAAGTGGTAGATAACTTACTGTAACATTTCTGTAGGAAACTTCCAAATATTGGGACAATATACTTCTTGTATCGTGCTTGTTCGGCACACCAAAAACTCATTTTGACATCACCATTTGTTGTCCCAGAATGAATGCTGCAATCATAGAACGTTAAATAAAGAAGATGTAGAGAATAAACTGAAGCATAGAAAACATACCTAATCATGTTGAGTCTCCCATCGTGCGCTGGTTCTGGTCCACCTGCAATGACAGACACCTTCCACCCAAGTGCCTCAGCAGCAAGATCGGCAATGGGCTGCATGAAATGGATGAAGCCTTGAATGCATCTTGGGTCAATCGTCAGTCAACACGTCAATTGAGCCGAAAGAAAAACAATAGCTCACCTCTGACGATCTGCAGGAAGAGTTGAGGGACGTGCCTCAAGGTCTTCCTTGTGCTTGGCCTTCGCCAGTTCATGCTCCTCCTTTGCTTGCGCTGCCCATTGGTCCTTTTCCTCCTGATCCAACTTCTCAAACATCATCCTGGCGACCGACTCCCAAAGCGCAGCAAGGTTTTTTCTGGTAGTCCCTTCCTGAATAGCACACTGCTTCACTTCTTCTTCAATGATTGAGCACTGACTAGTACGCCATGTGTTCATAGGACTCTTCTGTCATGGCATCTTCAAGCCCGTCACTGTGAGCTGCTGCAGCAGGACCACATATGGATTATGCGCCCTGGATTCTTTAGGATCAATATCATGGTCTTTCATGTATTGGTAGGCCAGCCAATGCTTGATTCGCTGAGCAAACGTGGGCATGGGTCAGTGATTCGAACGACGCCAAACTTAGACAACATACCGCTTTACGAGAGATAATGGTCTTTGTCTGCTCCTCCATCTGCCTCACAGCAGTGGTGTATTCTTCTGCACCAAGGGTCTCTTCATTCGGAGCTGGCAAGTCCTCATCGGGTGCATCGTCGTCAACAGCTGCCAGGTGCGCTTCACTGGGCTCTTCATCATGTGGGAGACTGACTGGATATTGCTTGAAGTATCGCCGTTGAATATTGGCCAGGGCATCTGCAGCATATCCGCCATCTACACCTGCAGCATACATCTTTTTCTTGGCAAGCAGGAATGCAAGGTGAGAGCCCTGGAATGTGTGCTGGCGAACCACAGTCGAAGCCTTCTTCTAAGTCCCAATGTTAGTAATGATCTTCTACAAATTATTCAATTAGGACACTTACTTTTTCTTTCTTTTAGAATGGGGTTTCTTCTCAGCAGGATGCATCGAAGCCTCTATTAGAATCGAGTGCAGCGGGGGAACAGAATGGGTGACCCAGTGAGCACCAATGCGACACAAGTAATTTACAGGGCTACGGCACTGACCTAGTTCATCCAGGTTTGAATTCCTGAGCCCCGACATCCTGGATTGGCTTAGCCACCCAGCCCAAACTCTATCCCGTCAAAATCGCTTTCTGGATGCTCTGTGAGCCTTCCTTGGCACCCTTAGATCCAGAGATATATAAAGGCCCACAACTCCAGCCGTTTTCATCAGCAAAATGTCTCTCCCCAACGATCCTTGCGATCTCCAAAGCCCAGCCTCTCCTCTTCTTTCTTCTCCTCCCTCTGCCCTGCCACATCGACACAATGAAGTCCAGCCTGAGCCTCTGCCAGCTGGTACGTCGGACCTATGCTCGTGCACCATCCAACCTCATTTATGCTGGTGATTAGCAGTCAATTCACAGGCCAAGTTACCCACTGCAGGCGTTGGATCGCCTCAGAATCAATCTGTGGATGCTTCTGGGCAGCTGGTCTTCCAAGACAAATCAGGCCACTCTGTCGGTATGCTGCTAATCTTCTCGTTTCTTCATGATTGCATGCTAATGATCGACAGGGTGATCAGCTTCTCAGCCCAAGGTCCCTGTTGCCGTCGTTGTGCCACAGACTAATCCAAATATTTCTGACACCTGTACACCTTTCCCAGAGGAACTCGAAAGGGGTGTGTACGGCACCACCGTTCCCAGTTTTTATGTTGTTATGCGAGGCATAACAGTCGGCATTTTTGACACCCAGTATGTATATGTTCTTTATGATATTGAAGTCTCTCCCAACCTGCTCTCAAGGGTTGGTGCCATGCAATCCATTGACAGTGTCTTTGAAAACTGCATTGTTCGCTTCTCCAGCTGGGAGGGTGCCATCTTTGACTACACTGTCTGCTTCGAGGCAGGCTTGGTTTCCATTGAGCAGCGAGAAACCAACCCGAGTGTGGCCCTGCTGTCTCAACTACCCTACTACATCCCTGGCACCCCAGAATACGTCCTCGAGCCCATTCCTCTGTCGCCGCGTCCCATTCTCAGATCCCCGGGCCACCCCTCCAATCCGATCTATGTCGGTTCTACATGCCCAATGCCCAAATGTCCGATCCGCACCCATATCGTACCTTGGAGCCCCCAGCCGCTGATCTCCACCAAATGCGCCCGCAAGTCTCATGACTCAGACAATAGCATTGTTTACCGCCTCGCCAAGAAACTAAGTGGGGAATCTGACTCGTCTTCGGAGGATTCCTCTGATAGCAGCATCATTATCCCTACTCCAGATGGGTTTTACAACAGTTCTGAGGCTGGACAGCCTATTGTTTGTGACGACTCATCATCTGAGGAAGTATTCCCTTTCCCTTCGACCCAACCTCCTAGGCCTAGTTTGCCCCATCAACAAAACGCCACTCCAGGACCATCCAACCACTCCAACGCCCTGGATCTCAATGCTCCATCCCCTCAGGGCTCACTGTCAGTGTCTGCTTCGCCTTCAATCTTGTTGCCCCTTTTGGACCAGCACGCCACCGACAATGGCTATTACTTCGACTTCGATGACAAGGATGGATTGGAGCAGCTTGACCTAGCCGATGCCCTCGCCGCTGCTCATGGACAATGGCCATTCTAATTACATACCTCTCTCATTTCGAATACCTACTAGATGACCTCACTCCCTGATACATAGGCTCCTACTCTTTCCTGCTTCTGACATAGATCTCATTGCTACTTCTCCCATGATTACCTCATTTGCTATGCCTGCTGTGTACTCATAGTCGCTTGCACAGCCCAAAATATCTTAATATATCTTGTTCGCTACAACCCTCTGACCCTGATGCACATAGTTAGCCAAGAAAGGAGCTAACGGCCATCTGGGGTTTGTGGCATTTGCAAGCAAATTTATTCATTGACAGGGAAGTTAGACTTGGTCAAAGTCCCCTCAGAACTGCTGCCATCACTTCCATCACAGCGACCTTGGTAGATCAACCGTCAGCGGCCAATAGCTCATGCCACTCCCTGTCATGTTTTTCTCAGGCCTTCACTTCGGCCTTTTGTCGCCTGATTGGTGAGAATTAGCATTATGATTCCCGGACAAGTGAACCGAGTCGAAACACACCGAGAAACCTGAGCTCTGGTGTTCAGATATGTCCTATTCAATGCTCAATAGCGTGCCTGCGCCTGACAGTGTTTTTCCTTGCACCAAAAGGACTCCATGGATGTATCGACCTTTGAATGGGGGCCCTTAACAGCAACAAGCCGGCTTTTACTGGATGAAAAGATTCAGCAAAAATGGCGTGGTTAAAATTTTGGAATTTACGCTGTCTTGTTTTCTGTATGGTTAGATCTAAGGCAATGTCTCAGTTGAATGACAAGGAGTAAAAAAAAGCCCCAGCTTACATGACATATTCTTTCCACCAAAGAATTAATATCTCTTGTGAATCTGGTGGGGCCATCATGGATTCGACTCCGCAGCCTGAGGCGTCGTCTTTCGAACACGATAGGAAGTGCCAGTTTGTGGTCGAGAAGCGAGTGACGAAGTAATACAGGAGTAGCTCATCCAAACATTACCTAACCTAAATTTAGGAACAGAGGAGCCAAAAAAGGGAATCCAATAATCACCTCGCATGCTTGCTCTCTCGCTGTGAAAGCAGGATGTTTCAGGGCCCAAAGCCCCATTTTGTTGAGAAATGGAAGGCTGCCACCTACTTCCTACGACGATGATGTTAATTTATGGGTTTTAGGGAAGGTTATGAGCACTTGCTTTGCACTATGAGCTGTTGAGAGAGACATGGAGGTAAGGAGATGATGGTGCTCATTGTGCTGGCTCAACCATGTTTCCGTCATTCATACGAGGCAGCAAAGGTGCAGTTCTTGTAATTTGTGTTATTACAATCTAAAATAAATGAAATTATTTACTTGCTTTACAATGGGCAGAGGCATGTAGCAAGGAGAGGCTGTCCTTCCAACGCCACTTGTTCTTCTTCTTATGAGCCTCTACCTCCTGCTGCGTCATGCCCGCATACATCTTCTGAACAGTTCAAAATCCATTTTCTACCCATCTAAACAGCCTGCCAGGTGCATATTGTGTGAACGAATATCTTTGTTCATTGGGCCCAATGGTGGTGTTGGAGTGAGTTATGATGGCCGAAGTAAGGAGCATGGTTGATCCAGCAGGAAATTCAACAACAAGGCCACATTCCCAGAGGATCATGTGCCCGCCTTTCTTGTGGTCGAAGGAGCCGAGCGCGGTGACAGAGCATAGGCCAAATGGAAGGTTGGTGAAATCTTGATGGGGGGAAACAGACAGTCCTGGGGCCTAGGTTGTACATCGTTGTTGGGAAGGCCATGGAGCCAAATGAACCTCTGAGGTTTGGGTGATGCTTGAACAGGCGGCGTAAGGTTTTCTTGTAATGTTCATGAAGGGCTGGTACCCAGGTAGCTAAGAGAGCTGGAGAATGGTTGAGTCCTAGGGTGAAAAAATGGCAGCCAGTTTACACACAGGAAGAAAATCCAGCCAATTGCTTGAAGGTGTTGTGCCGATTCAATTCCTCTAGCACCCTTTTGTTCGTGTCGTTGTTGTAAATGTTTGTTGGTTGAACCTGGCTGCCAGCATTTCCAACCCTGCAGCACATAGGCGTAAAGGCACCATGTCAATGGCACCTCTCCTTCTGAGGTACGGAGCACCGCCCGCAAGCGTCTTCCAATGCGGCTGCACCTTTGAGCTGGACTGCATCCCAGTTCGGATCGCCAGGGTGCCCGCTGAGGATGCCGACTGTGTTCTTGTGCTGGTCAACAATGCGCATAGGTGTTCTGATGGGCTTCAGTCAGTATAAAGACTGGTATATGCTGGGGGATACGCACACTCCATCCCATTCCTGCAGCTTGAATTGGAAACGCGAGGCTTCTCCGACAACCTCGTCAAGTCGATAGACCTTGCAGTTGCCCATCGCATTATCCAGCGCCACGAACCCTGTACCAGCGACCGCGGAGGCCTCAGCATTCATGTCGGTCATGATTGTTGAGGCACCTTCCATGTACTTCTCGTACGCCGCAGGCCAGGCTGGTTTACCACCGAAAGTTTCCTCCTGTAGCTTCATCCTTTTTGCTGCCCTACACTCGTGGCTCTTTCGATTACAATGTGCCTTGCGGTCCACTTTAGGCAGCTGAGTGATTTCTAGATCCTCGATGGGCTCCAGATCATGGACAGAACCAGAGGTTTGGTGGGGGAAGTGGCTGGTAGGTTCATCAGGGTGTTGGGCACCGGACGGTCAAATGATGGTTGATGAGGGAGGAGTTGGTTCAGGAGTGGTCAGAGAGGAGGTTCCAAAAACGTCGTCGTCGTTTTCTGTGGCTGGGGCATCTGCACGGTCGAGGCTGGCCAAGAAGAGTTTGTGGAAGTTGAAGTTGGGATTCGGACACTGCACTTGGAGCTCCGGTGTTGTGGGGGCCGATGGGTTCATCTGGAGTTTGAGTTATTGAGCCTGCTACCATCTAGAAAGAGAAATACACACACATCGCTAGCTGTTTCCCATCCAAGATGAGTCTTGCCTAAGAATGTTTGACAGTGAGTACTGATCGAGTTTGCTGAGGCATAAGGGGTGGAATAGCTCACGATCGCACCACAGCCATGTCCGCTAGAAATCTGTATCAAACACTGTATTTAAACAGGGTATGCTCACATGTCAGGACTGTGATTAAACAGTCCACCCACGGAGAGGCCGTTGCTGTGCGTGCCGGGGCTCAATGCTGTGGGCAGGGCCTGTCAACACAAGCAAACAACACAGGAAACAATGCCCAAGCATCGTTCCTCGTTGTTCTCAGTGCTCCCACCACCGTTTTCGATGGGGAAAAGCCGCCAACGATGAGGAAACATATTTCCTCATCGTTGTGCACCATTTCCCCCATAGTCGGGGGGCGGGAATGGGTGGATTAGGCCAGATGTGTTTGGATGACACGGCCTTTTTTTGGGGCCCGGAACTATTTTTAGATCATCATGTAATTACCATGACACATCCCCTATGATGCTCTCGCCAGCATCTGTCACGGCGTCCGGCGAGCTCGGGGGCACCTCAAAGCACAGGAAAAAAATTACAAAAAAAGTCATATTAAATCGAAATAAAATATATGCATGATGCAGGTGGCTCTACCAGCCACCCACCACGAGATAAGAAGAGAACAAGTAGAAACGACATGTACGACACGTTGTTTCCGCTCCCCTGCCCTTTGCAGCAAAGAAATGCACAAAAAAATGTATTAAATTGTACAGAAAAAAAATACAGGATGCGGGTGGCTAGTAGGGCCACCCGCTATGAAACATAGGTAAAACGAGCAGAAACAGCATGCTATAATGCGCTGTTTCTGCTCAGGGAGATGGGTGGCGGTCCTCCCCCGCCCCTCTGCCCTTTCTGACCCCTCCTGTGCTCGTTGGAGCCCCATCTGCCCCCTCGTGTACTTGTGGGGCCACCTCTGCCCCCTCTGCCCCCACCTCTGCCCTCACCTCTGCTCGTTCGCCCTCTTTGGGTGCTTGTGGGGACTCTTTGGGTGCTTGTGCTCCCCCCTCCTTGTGCTCCCCTTCTCCTTGAGCTGCTAGTTGTAGGTGCTGAGCAGGAGGCGACGGGTGGGGGTGAAGGGCGACGGTGAAGGGCGAAGGGCGAGGCCGAAGGCAAAGGATGGGGAGGAAGGGCAACGGGCAACAGGCAACAGGTGGGACAAAGGTTGAGGGGTGGAGGCAGAGGTTGAGGGGCGGAGGCAGAGGGCACAGGTGAAGGGTGACCGGTGAGGGGCAGGGCAAAAGTCGAGGGGTGGGGCAAAGGGCGAAAGGGCAGGGCAGAGTGCGAGCGCAAGGGCAGAGGATGGGGCAGAGCGTGAGGGCGGCCGAGGGGCGAGAAGGCGGGGTGTCGGAGGGCGAGAGGGCGAGAGGGCGAGGCAGAGGATGGGAGGCGTGAACGAGGCTGAGGGCAGAGGTGAAGGGTGCCCTCGCCGTCCTCGTCATGCCCTGCCATCGTCGTCGTTGTGCCCCTGCCATCCTCATCGTGTTCCTGTCCTCGTCGTCATGCCGCCATCCTTGTCGTGTCCCCATCGTCGTTCTTGTGCCCCTGCTGCCGTCGTTCGTTGCCTGCTGCCATCGTTCGTCCCCCTGCCGTCATTGTCATCATGCCCCTGCCGTCCTCATCGTGTGCCCGTCCTCGTCATTGTGCCGCCGTCCTCGTCGTATCCCCATCGTCATCGTCATGCCCCCGCCGCCATCGTTCGTTGCTGTTGTTGTTTGTCGGTTTCGATATTTGTCCCTCTTCAAGGGGAGGTGTGCAGAGCGAGGGCGCAGGTGATGAGAGGCAGAAGGTGGTGGGGAGCTTGAGGATGGAGGAGGCGAGAGGGGTGCGAGAGGCGACCCAGGCAGGGGTTTCATGCCTCTGCCCACATCCCTATTGAAGGGGAGGGGCATGAAACGCAAAGAAAACGAATGTCGACTTTAACCTAGTGTTGGTTTAAACATAAATTAGAGTACATATTCATGAAGAAAATACATTACTTACCCTTTTTTTCGGTCCTAGGAGGTTATTTGACGTGTTGGACTGAGAGGGGGAGCGCCAGGTGGTAGTTGAAGCTGAGATCGACGACGACAAATGTCGTTGATGGCTTATCCGGCGAACGCCGTGAGCGATATGATTGGCTGATGTGACGTCTGTGACTGCGGTGGCTGGTTGGCGACAGCAGGGGAGAGACGGCACACGGAGGAACTCAAAAGACAGGGGTAAACCAATATGAATTCACTAAGGGGCCTAGCTACGCAGGACAGCCTTATATACCAGTACGTAGATAAGCGAAGCAAATAAGAGCCAAATAGACAAAAGGAGTGAAAGGGCCGAAGGCCAGTAGCGACAAAGGAAAGGATCGTGTGGGGAGTTGGACCATAGATAAGGTAAGTGATAAGATGATGAAAAGAAAGGATACTGAACCGTTACACCCGCCCTCCAGGCATTGCAGCGTAATGTCTTCAGACGGTGGATGCGAAGTCGACGGCGGTTCCGGCAGTGATTGCTTGGCCATCCATCGGATCGTCAACGGCAAAGGCAGGATCGGCGAGGTCGTGACTAGCAGGGATTGTAGATGTCAGGGTCGAGGGACGTGGTGATTCTGGGAACTGCATATTGTCTGCAATACTTTTATTGGGGTCCCACATTGCTGAATGCTTTGGGATGTGACCCAAGGCGCTGAGAGGTACACGCTCCCTCGGTGCTGCAGTGGCACCAGTGTCGATGGCAGACACGGGGAAAGTACAGGCAGTTTTGATGGCAGGTGTGGCAGCAGCCCCAGGGGTCTCAGGTGCCAGCTCGGGGATAGGTGCAGGTTCAGGAGTGGGCGCCTTGTCCGGAGTGCGGCGGGCATCATCGGCGGGGGCATCGGCCTCTTGCATGTCGACATCCTCATCCCTAACTTCGTCGTCTACCTCGTGGGGTGCGTCTTCCTCAACCAACTCCTCCTTGACAGTCTCCTCAGTGGTGGTGGTGGTCGCGCTCGATTCCGCGAGAAGTGCTGCACGCTCCTTGCGCCCAGCCTTGCTGCGACGACGGTGGTGGGATCCAGTGGACTCCTTGTCCGAGGAAGTTCTGGTGCGGCGATCCGAGTCGCGGTGAGCCTTGGTGTGAGTGTTTAGCTGAAGAGCAGCACGACGTTTGCGGGCGTCGGCATGCTGCTTGAGCCGCTCCTTGAACTGGATGGCACGCACACCTTCCCGAAAGACGAGTGTCCAGGCCACGTTGACTAAGTCTTGAGGTCCAGAAAGCGTGACTTCACTGCCAGTGGTTATACCACAGTCGGTTGGTGTGAGATGGAAGACGTCAGCCCACATGGCAGAGCCTTTGCGTTCAACCCTGTTGTCTGTCGTTATGATGGCGAATCGCTGCTTCCCTTTGGCCAGTGCATTGAAGGCACGAGAGACGAGGGCATAGGAGGACGGAGACGGGTGCTTAAGCACCTGTGCAGGCTTGGCACGGAGGTCAGCGTCGAAATCCAGGCAGGCGACGAGGTCGGCGGTGGACACGGTGTGCTGCTTGGGGGGAGTCGAGGTGCTGTCGATGACAAGGAAGTGGTCTGAGGTGAGGCATCGGAAGTTGGCGTGGTCGATGGGGGGAAACAACGACTTCGGAGTTGAGGTGGATTGGGCAAAGGGTCCGGGTGTGTGTTGACATTTGTGTCAGCCCATAACAGGCAATAGTAATCGAAGTAAATGAAGGCAGTGAACGGCGAAAACTACAGTGGAAAGAAGAACACAAAAGTGGGCAAGAATCAAAAGCAAAAAGTCAAAGAAGCTTTTAAGGTATGAGATCTCGGCCTCAGTATGCTGAAACAGCAACTCGCCAATGAAAATTTGAGGATCCTCGTGGGGTGGTTTTCCCTTCCCTTTGGGCAAATTGGAGATATCCTCAATGCCCAGCAGCTCAAGATAAGCCTTTAACACATGGAGGTTTGATATTTTATCATATGGCAGCCAAGTAATATCCCCAGCTGACCACAGAATCTCGAATATCGCCTCTTCTCGGGATCCAAAATGCGACAATATTTTGTCAACCGCCCATTCACCTGACGAGTCTTCGCCAATGCCAAGCTGCAACTCAAGACGACCAGGAAACAGTCTATCATCATTCGGGTGATGGATTTGCAACAGGGACGCGTGGAACACGTCGTGAACACCACGTTGCTTCAAATTTGCTGGTAAATCCAACTTGAATGAGGAATTTCCGAAGTCTCGGAGAATTCTATATGGTCCAATGTACTTAGGGATTAATTTCCTTGCAAGTCCCTTTGGAAATGAGATGTTCTTTGTGGAAAGGTACACTAGGTCCCGTTCCTTGAAGGGTGCGGTCTGGCGCTTGCGATTCGCATCGCGAGTCTGTTTGACATGGGCCGCCAGAATACTATCATGTGCAGCCATTAATGCAAGCTTCTTCTGCAGTGCAAAGTTCCGCACAGCAGGGAACTCTGTTTTCAGAGCAGAATTCCAGATCATTGGCCTTGGCATTCATCCCGAGTTCAGGAAGAATGGGGCAAAACCAGTGCTTTCCGAGCGCGCTGAGTTAATGGCGAATTCAATTGCAGGAAGCTTTGCAACCCAATCAGACTGCTTCTCGTTAATACACTGTCGAAGCATTTGAGTCACAGTTCGATTAGCTCGTTCCGTAGACCCATCTGTCTGCGGGTGGTATGTGCTTGACATTTTAAGGTTTGTCCCAACGAGTTTATGGAGATGTCCCCACAGTGTACTCGTGAATAGCACATCACGATCGCTAATAATATTCTTGGGCAAGCCATGGTGCTTGTAAACTTCCTTGAACATAAGCTCAGCAAGTTGACGAGCATTATAGTTCGTTCTGCTCAGAACTAAATGCACCATGCCTGTCAGGAGGCAAATTACAACTGTGATTGAGTCAAACGAGCCGTTCCAATTCTTAGACTCAGGCAGGGGCCCAACGAAGTCCATCCCTATGGATTCCCAAGGGTTTCCGGGTATGGGAAGAGGATTCAACAGCCCATATGGTTTTTGATTACTGGGCTTGCTTCGTTTGCAGGTCTGACAGGTTTCGCAGTAGGCCTGCGTATCCGAAACCATATCTTTCCACCAGAGGTGATCGCACAAATAATCCAGTGTTTTCGCGGCACCGAGATGTGCTAACAGGGAGTGTGCCTCCGAGATAACAATCTCCTGGGCGCTTCTTCCTTTAATCAAGAGCTTGGGGATGCATAAGAGCTTCCGCTCACACTCCTTGAGGTACATGATCCCATTCTCGACCTCGAAATTATGAAACTCCTTAGGTTTCTCGAGGATCTTGGTGAAGAATGGGTCATTCGCATAGTTATTGCGAAGTTCCTCGATTAGATCAATGCCCTCGGAGCCCGAGTTAAGCAGTGACATGAAGGATGGCAGCTCGACATGCTCTTCTGCAGTGTCTGGATTGCCTAGATCTTCAAGATCTGGCATTTCTTCGTTGTCTGAGTCTGTGTTTTCAGCAATAAGTGGCTGTTGCTTGCCACTCCCACCTTCCTTTCTTTTTTTTTTTTTTTTTTTTTATCAACAATTTATATAGCGGTGCTCGATGGCAGCCCGCTTGCTATCTACAAACACGTACGCTACACAGCCTGGTTACTAAGTAAACCACTAAAGGACGACCGCCCCCCCAACCAAGACCCTTTGGGCTCAAACGCCGAAACTCCCCAGAGGGCAACCCACCTCGCGAAAACGGTGCATCGGGATAAGGGGAGGAAACCATCAAGGTTTCGCTACGCCCCAAAGTCGTCGATCGCTGTTCGGAGGCCATGCAGCGCAAATGAAATAAGAAAAGCACCACCCGGGAGGTGGCGGGGTGTCTTGAGGCCGACAAGCCAGAGAGGCGCCTGCCCGAAACCAGACGCAGAAAATTAGCGGCGCCGCAACCCGCTACAATAGCGGCCGCAAGCGCGAAGAAATAGCGGTAGGCGCAGGTCTTCGAACCCTAGAGCTCGGTGGTGTCAATTCACCATAAATCCCCCGAAAGGAGGAACAACCCCGCCCACAGTGATTATCCGACACCCGAAGGGTCCCGGTTGAAGCCAAACGCCGTAGGGTTGTACTTCATAAACGATGCAATATCCCTGAGAAAGTGAGGATAGTGTACAGAATATCTGTCACGACAGCGAAAGAGGATATGCTGGCGGGATTGCAAAGCAGCCCCGCAAGTGCAGCCGTGAGGCTCGTTGATCTTGAAGCGTCGGTAATACGCTCCAATGGGCGCATGGCCAGTTATACACCGGCAAACGCGAGCGAACTCAGTTATACTGTGTCCGAAAGTTGAAAGCCAAGGTCCCCCATTGAGGTACGATGGCTGCAGCGGCCGCCCGTCAGGCTGTTGAAGCTCTAAAAACTCAGAGCCTCGGTAGGTTGGATCCTGGAAAGTGGAGCTCCACGAATCCAGGACTGAGTGCGCCGCTCGAGAGCGTAGCGCGTCTATGGAGTTGTCCGTCTCGCGACGTCCAACCCTGACTTTGAGCTCGGTGACGTACTTGTGTGCTTCACCATGAATATCCCACCGCAGAGCAGAGGGGACGTAAACGAAGGTAACGCGGCAGAGATCATCCGCCTCAAACCATTCTTGAAGAGTGCGACATACTGACAAGCTAAAAGCCTGACCAGAGTGCACGGAAGGGTCAACCGCTCTATGGGCCGAGCCCATAGAGTCAGTGAAGACCATAATATGCTGGCAGTTTACCTGCTTGACAGCAAGGCGTACTGCACACGAGATGGCATTGAGTTCCGCATCTGGGGCGGTAACTCTGCCAGAGACGTAGCGAGTCCTTTCAAGCTCGCGATGTCCCTTGTAGATGATGGCAGCCGAAGCCGCCTGATACTGGTTGGACTGAGGGACAGAGCCATCAGTTGCAGCCAGTACTGTTAGTGGGTCGGCCCTCGCTCTCGCGATGAGCTCGTCTAGATATGGGCGCCTATCCTGGGTAGGATCACGCTCGTCAAAATGGAGACGGTCCGCATAGCGGCACCCTCCTTTCGTTCTCGTGGGCCATGGAGGACGAAATGATCGTGCACTCGTCTGGCAAACTCAGCAGAGGTCTCAGGGCGAGGATTAAGTGCTTCCTTGCATCTGCGTGCTGCGCCCCAAGTTTCAATGCCTGTGACAAGTGGAGAAGAGGACCTTTCCATGTCCAAATCATCATCTACCACGTCATGGTAGGTATACTCACTCCGCAAGCGAACAACATTACCCAAGTCGTCCGAATACATGCAGGACAAGGCATCTGCAAGGATATTTTCACTCCCAGCAATGTAGATGACCTCAAAGTCAAAAGACGAGATCTTCTCGAGCCATCGAGCTTGTCGACCCGAGAGATTCTTCTGATTTAAGAGGTGAATAAGTCCTTTATGGTCTGTCAACCATTTAAACTTAGTTCCTTGCAGAATATCTTGATGGCGGAGCATCGTCTCGATCCCTGCAAGCATCTCAATCTCGTGCACAGCATAGTTCTGCTGTGCCGAGTTCAATTTAGCAGAGTAAAATGCTGCAACCTTGGCAGTCTTCCAGTCAGCTCCCTGGCTCACAATGCCAGAAATACCAGTCGCACTGCCATCAGTTACCATCCAGATAGGCTGTGCATCAGGCGCATAGGTTAATGGGACATGAGAATGGCCACATGCACCATGAACAAGTTGTTTTACATCCTCAAATGCCCGCTGCTCTGTGAAAGTCCAACGAAACGGAACAGTGTCACCCGTAAGGGCGCTTAACACCCCCATGGGGATACGGACACCAGGGACATCATCTGCGAGGTACCCCACAGACCCAAGAAAGCCTCTAAGCAAGTCCCGGTTTGTTGGAACCTTCCAGTTCAGCACCGAGTCGACCTTGTCAGTGTCCATGCGAATGCCCTTGTCATTGATAACACGACCAAGCAATTTTAACTCCGGTGCAATGAAGCGAAGCTTGTCCTTGCTAAGGTAAAGCTTCTCTTCTGCCAGGATGTCCAGGACTAATTTGACATGCTCAGCGTGTTCATCAAGATCATCGTCATAAATAACGATATCATCCAGATAAACGTCCATGAACCGACCAATATATGGTGAGAACAGGTGGTTCATTAAAGCCTGGTACGTCACGGGTGCATTGCAGTCCCCGATTTGGATAACATGGCTCACCATGTTCCCATCCGGAGTGGTCATCGACATCCGCTCGACATGCTCAGGGATAATCCGAATTTGCTCGTATGCACTCTTTAGGTCCAGAGCGGTGCGAAAGAGCTTACTCACCATTCTCCGGAGCATTCCCTCCATATCAGTGAGAGGCGAGGTGAGCTTATATGTATTTTTGTTGCGTTCTCGCAAGTCGAGCAAAGTTCGAACATCAGGGAGGCCACCGTCCTTTGAAGGCTTAGGTATCAGCATCATCGGTACGGTATTTCCTGCCAAAGTTATTTCCCATTGACCCGAGCGGAGATAAGCATCTCGCTTCTTTGCCCATTGAGCACGAAAGGCCTCTGGGCATCGCGAGGGACGCCACGGATACTTTCGATTCGGGTCAATGAGGGGAATTGTGTGGTTGATAGCACGAAGTGGTGGCAGTTCTGTGTCCTCCACACCTCGACAGAGAGGCTCAGCTTGAGCCCGTAGCTCTTCACAAACCTTTTCGACTACATCATCCACTGGCTGTAATGCCCCGACGAGTGGCTTGGCCTCAGGACCAGCCCGAATGGGCATAGGCTCCGAGCTACCAATACTGCAATGTCCTGGGTTAAACCCAATACTGACTCGGTGTTGGTATAGCCAGGGTGTCCCAAGTATCATATCGTAATTATTCAGATTAATCACATCGAACGTATGAGATGTATCAATGCTTTCATACTGAAAACGGGCGCTAACTCAGTATTTGATAACCGAGCATGATCCTTGAACAGCAAGCTGGAGCTTCAGCGGATCAGGCAATTCCTCCTTTCGGAGCTGCAGTTGGTCCACCAGAGTTGTGGAGACGAAATCTCCCTGCGACCCAGAATCCACAAGTGCTCGTACCTGATGGCCCCCGAGGAGACACTTCAGGACGAGCAGTTTCAGAAGGACACGGCCTTTTTCTTTCACGGAAGACACATTCCTCTGCACAGCAGGGAATTTTCCGCGATCAACTTGAACAGCATTGACATTCAACGAGTTGAAGTCATCCACCATGTGACGAATAAGTTCGTTGATGTACTCTAGTACATCTGGCCAGCGCTCCTCATTGGCTGCAGTTTCTGCGAGTGCCTCCTTGAATTGCTCTACCCGTTTCTGGGGAGGTTTTGCAGGTAGAAAATCAAAGCCATCAAGCTCAAACTGAGCTATTCTAAACTCGTACCAGTGGAGTAGGTTAAACTCCGGATTGTCAAGCAGGTCTCGAGGCAAATATGAAGTCGCTTGGTGATAATGATCATGGATCTTGAAATGACTCGCATCGCGGATCGTCCATTCCACAGCGAATTGTTTCCCAAGTCGCTCTATGCTATCAAGTTCGTGGTCATAAGGAGATCCGAGCTCGAGAAGCTCAGAGATTCACTGTAAGAACACAGCACCTGTAATGGTCTCATGAAGAGGCCTGTCGGCCATCCAATCCATCGCCACCCGAGCAGGGCTCGAGTACCCTGTTGTACAAGTGGTCTGCTCAGCATACCATCTCCCTATGGAGAAGGTTTCATGCTTCAATCGTGCAGAGTGAATCCAGGACTCGAACCCGAGTGCTTCATCATAGATCTCGTAGAAATCGAAGTCCACTCACTTGATGTGGAACCTGGAACACGTAGGCGTCGTTTCTAGTGTTTCGTCACCAGGAAATGGCTGGCAATTCAACAGAACTTGCTTCATTCGAAAGGCGAGTACATCACCCACTCTTCCAAGCTGATACCCGCTCAGATCGTCTAAAGACTTGATGTGCTCAATGTCAATTGACATAGGAACCGTAGAGCGAACTGGAGGTTTATTCTTGGGCTCTTGCTCGAGTTGTTGACCTGGAAACTCGTTTGTAGGTGAGTTTTCTCGATCCTCCTCGATATCTGATACCCGGAAGTCCTCGGAAGGAGTATCAAAGGTACTACCAGACCCAGACATCCCAGAGATGGTTTGAAGACCTGGTATGGACCCAGAGTCGTCCGAAGCATTCGAGTATTCAGTCTCGGAACCACCTGGTGGTTGGACCAAAGAGAACTGAGATAGGGATGTACTAGTCGAGCTGGATGTTGTTTCAGTACCAAAAATCATGCAGCCGAGCTCTATCTCAGGGCCTGAAGTCTCATCCTCTTCAGGAATCGGTTCAGCAGCCCTTTGGAGCTCGTTGATTTGGTCCTGAAGCCACAGAGTGTGTTTGGTCTGAACATGGACATAAAGGCCTGTCTGGTCGAGATGGTCCCAATACCAGCCCACCAAATCAAATGTTGGATCTTCGAGCATAGCCCTATGCACCGTTGTAACGGCCTGAAGGTCAAAGTCCCAGATTGCATAGTAATCGGCAGAGGAACCTGCCAGAGGTAAAACCTCGAACCGAGTGTAGTAGTCCAGAGCGTGCACACTCGGAAATGACGTGTTTGCGCCATCTTCCAATAGGTGTAAAGTCACCAAAGCAGTAGCATCACCCATACAAAAATCCACTGGGGAATGTACCCACTCGAGACGCTGGTTGTGGTGCCTAGCGCGCCTTTTCGCATACCAGCGTGGCAAATCAAATCGTGGGCGCTTAAGTAACTCCTTTGAGATCTTTACATCAAACTGGGTTAGATGGTCCACAATTTGGTATTCTCCGCGATCAGGATGTCCCACCCGAGCCACAGAAAACCACTGTGCCAAATCCATCTGCAGCGCAACGAACCAGAATCGGTCGTCCTCAGGGTAGGGTTGCATTTGTCCAAGCACATATTCAGCCACCATGGCGTAAACATCTCCAATCTGTGATCGTGGAGCAGACAGTGCTCCGTTTATCCAGTCTGGCTCTGGCACCTCCCAGATCTCCCATGGTTCTGCAGATGGTCGGGCAGGTTCAAAGTCAATGTACCCAAGAGGCATGCTCTCTAGTACTTCGACAGGTTGGTCCGAGTCATTCCCGGTGTCCTGAACATTTATGTTGTAGTTCGGAACACCCGGCAGGTGATTACTACCCGACTGAACTGTTTTGCCCTGAGGGCAATTCCGTTCCCAATGGCCAACCTTGTTGCACTGGAAACACCAGTTTCCCGCCCTCCGTTCAGCCACCTCCCGTTCAGAGAGCTGGTTCGTAGCCTTGCCATCTTGGCGGCGGTCTCGAGGGCGGTCTCGAGGACGATCACGGCGAGAGCCTGACGGAGCTCCTGGGCATGTGGCCCTGTTGTTCATTGGTGCAATCTGTGAGGACCTGTAGTCCCGATTGTTGCCAGGATTGGCTGGCTGAGGTGCTCGATGCCTTGGAAAGCGGTCTGTTCAACCACGATCACGACGAGAGTGGTGTGGTCTCCTCAATGAGTGCGATGAGTTTGGAGTAAAGGTAACTCGGCTTGAATTACGGTTTTCGTGCTGCCTGCTGGTTGGCATGGACTGGCCTCGATCGCGAGTAGTTGAGGACACATTCATGGCAATCTCGACAACCTCAGCACGGGCACGAACCTCATCCCATGAAGATGTGTCAGGATGTAAGCCGGACATCCAGAGTTCAGATTGGATATCTTTCCGAAGTCCAAACCAGAGCTTCAAGACTTGCTCGCGCTCACCGACTTCTCCAATTATGTTGAAGAGTTCCTCGAGATCATGAGTGAACTCCACAACAGATTTCCCATACTGCTTCGTCTGATCAAGCTTTTTACGCATCTCCAGATGGTAGTTTATTGGAAAGCAAAAGTTGAAGAGTTCAACATAGAAGTCCTTGAGTTTCCACTCCTCTTCATTCATTGAAACTTTCTGTGTATAGAAATTGTAGGCCCTGTCCTTCATATAACAGGATAGTGCGAAAGCATAACGCTCAGGCTCGATGCCTGCATCCTCAAGATAAGCTGAGCTTTCCCGAACAAAGTGTTGGTAAGCATTGTTATCTGGAGTACCATTGTACATTCGGGGCTTAAATGCCTTGGCTGCGCCTTGAGATGAGCGCGACCTTTTCCAGTGAGATTGACGAGATTGACGAGAGTGTCGATGTCCACGCCGACAGTGAGCAGAACGATGCTTATGTCGTCCATGACGTTTGCGATGTCATCAACGGTTCGAGTTGGAACTCGACGAAGATCCACTTTCAGACGATGAGCTCGGATCCTCCGATGGTGACGACGAGGAAGAACCTCCAGAAGGGGAGTCTGTACCTGACCCACTCGACGTCTCCGACAATGAACCTGAGTTGGTGCTCGACTCGGAGCTCGAACCCAAACTCGAATTGCTGGACGGACTGCTTGACGGTGGACTGCGTCTATGTTTCCGTTTACGAGCATCCATTTTCTCGACTCGACTGAGAGTGACTCCCAGGTAGCTGCGAGCTGGAATTTGAGCAGTGGGGCGAGCTTCTGCTGGAAGCTGACCCTTCCCAAGCCCACCAGACTTCTTGGTATGGTTTCGCCGAGCCTGTGGCGCACGTTGCTTGCTCGTCTTGGCTGATTGGCGAGCACTAGCTGACTGGGTGTTTGAGGTGGTTGGCTGTGGTACAATCACCACAGATCGCCCACGAGGGGTGCGCATGGAGTCAAGTAGTGCACGCTGGAGGGCCGGATCCCTTTCTGTGGAGTCCATCCGCAATCCTCCCCATTCTCGGGGGTCTACAGCCTTACCCTTGCTGTGCGAAGGTCCTTCTCCCCGTGACGACTCAGAGGACGAGGAGGTGGAACGATGTCGACCTGCTGGCAGGTCCTGCCGGATATTCTTGTATCGGTGGTTGAGGTGCTCGTGCTGTTCTCGGGTGAGATTGGCCGAGGCTTGGTCAACTGTGGTATCACGCGGAACACCCCGTGTTCGAGAACCACGCGAGTGCTTCCTATGTGCAGACTTTTTGCTCTTCTGCTTCTTCCTCTTCCCGGAAACTTCAATCCACGGGTTCGGGTTCTCATCATCGCTCGACTCAGACTCTGAGGAACGTTCATGGTCGGTAGGATCAACAGTGGTATTCGGATCAACTACATTTTCTCCCACCTCTGGACCACCGGTCAACAGCAGTGCAGACGGCGAGGGGGTCTCCTCTACTCTACCAGAGTGGATAGGCAAGGGAGGACGAGAAGCGACCACGTCACTATACGAGTGATGTGCTCCAGCCTCGGAATCGGAGCACAAGGCTCTTGCTTCCACGTCCGTGGCATAACCCAGAGGAGCGCCCTCGAGATGAGGGGGAATGTCACGGGTTGCCCTCATGGGAATGGGCGCAGCCGCCGCAGCAGGTGCCGCCCCACGTCCGCGGCGAGTACGAAGTGCGTACGGAGCTCTAGTAGACATAATCAGTAACAAGAGGCTAAAGAAAAAGACTTATCGATGAAATGTTTTTGGGTTTATTGGTTTTGAGGAAATGGGTATGTGCTGCCGGGTGCTGGGTGTCTCAGATGATCAGTCCGAGGGGTGTCCAAAGCGTCGAGGCAGCGAGGAGAGAGAAAAAGCTAGAGGTTGTTGTTGTAGGTGTTGTAGGCTTGTTACGTCAAAAAGATGTGATGTCTGTGACTGTGGTGGCTGGTTGGCGACAGCAGGGGAGAGACGGCACACGGAGGAACTCAAAAGACAGGGGTAAACCGATATGAATTCACTAAGGGGCCTAGCTACGCAGGACAGCCTTATATACCAGTACGTAGATAAGTGAAGCAAATAAGAGCCAAATAGACAAAAGGAGTGAAAGGGCCGAAGGCCAGTAGCGACGAAGGAAAGGATCGTGTGGGGAGTTGGACCATAGATAAGGTAAGTGATAAGATGATGAAAAGAAAGGATACTGAACTGTTACAGCTGATGCTAGCGGTCCGGGCAGCCCACATTCCGCTCGTCGACCTCGGAAGAGCCAATGCACTGTAATGACCTGAACAGAGAGGGGGACTTGGCCTCAGCATGCTCTTGTGCTGTGCCCCTACACATCATCTGGTTGTCCCCAATTTACAGGAACTGCCTTGGTCTTGACAAAGGAGAGACAAGAAGAAGTCATCCTGGCCAAGGCCCAGGAGACAGAGGATGAACAACAGAGCAGAGGGGTTGTCAGGGTTGAGATTCAAGCTGGGGAATCCAGTACTGTAACGACCGTGCCGGATGGGGTGGGGACTTGGCTTCAGCTTGATGGAAAGGGCAGCTGCGCCACCACGCAACGTCTGGGTGTCCCCGATTTCGGATGAACAGGGAGGAGCCGGATTCCGGCAGTGAACTAGAGCAAAGACTGTACATGGGTATTTATGCTATGTAGGATAATGGACCATGATTATGTAATAGATAACTTAGCCGGGACAAGGAGAACAATGAAGGACAATGGGACAATGGCTGGGAGACACAATGGAGTGAGCCGGAAACATGGCTCGCCTTGGAAGTGCCTCGGAAGCGCACGGCTCGTTCCCAGATGTCTCGGAAGTGTCCTGGAAGAGCACGGCTCATTACCACAAGCCTCGGAAGCTGGATACAGCCTCGGGAGCCAGATAATTGTGCCGGGAGCCGGGGACGGGTCGTGACAAGTACACTACCTAGCTACTTATACTATTGAGAACAATGGAGAAGATCTAGGTTATGTAATGAATGCCAGCAGAACAATGACAGAGAACAATAAGGACAATAATGAATAGAACAATGAAGGGAAAGCCCATTGATGAACCAGAACAATGAACAATGGGACAATGGAACAATGGGTTCAGGAATGGGATGTGACATGCACTTGAGATATGACGAAAGTCCGTTGAATTATCCTCGGTATGTAAGTAGACTACTGTACTCTATGTATTTACAAAGGTCCGAATAAATTCTGAGGGAAAGAACGAGCTAAGAACCTGAGTTACTGTTTTCGTGTGGTGATTTACGTCCTCCTGATGTTTCCAACCTCTCAAATACCACTTGTTCGACGAGGTGCAACATCACAAAAATTTTGTATTTGAGATCCTTGTGTAAGTTAGTACATCATATAAAAAAATTAGCCTGAATTTCCAATGTAAATCCTATGATACAAGCCAGTGTCTGGTTTTTGACACATCCATGAGTTAATTTGACTACAGAATCCACCCGGTTGTTTGCAGCTTCTTAGTTTACATCTTAAAATTAATAGGTTGGCCAGGGGAGCTCTGAAGCTCAGTACTATCACTATCAGCCAGTATGTATACCATTTTTATATATTTATTTGGTATCTTCTGCCTCTTGGAATCCACATACGGAGGTCAGAGTCCTATCATTGGCCTGAGCCTGAGATTGTTTTGCTCATAAAATATTTCAGCTTGGTTACATCTCATTTAAATTACATATGCGCGTGAAATTATATACTGAAAACCATTCCCGATGGTTTGAATGGATATTAATTGCATTCTGCATGCATTGGAGACATTCCGTTGGTCGACAACGGAACGGATGGGGGAACGGGCCGTACCTCCCAGCCAATAGGAGGCACAGCCGGAACTCGCCGAACCGCGATCAACGATGTTCAACATCGTTGATCGTGGTGTTCCTCCCTCACCCCTCACTGCAAAGCAACCCTGAAACACAAAGAAAGGTAAGTAGATTTCTTTCTTATGTATTTACATCTCTACTAACCAACCCTTACCTTCACAGAACCGCGTTCATGTCAATAACGACGCAACAAAACGACTGAGCCCCTCCCCTTGCGACAGGGATGTGGGCTAGGACACCTCCCTGCCCATGGCTGCCCGCTTGCCCACCGCCAGCCTCTCGTCCACCACCACCCGCTCGCCCACCATCGCTCTCTCGACCAGGCGGATGATGGCAACGGCAGGCACAAGACGACAAGGGCGGGCACAGGACGAGGGCGGGGGCACGACAAGGGCGGGGGCACAACAAGGGCAGGGGCACAACAAGGGCAGGGGCACGACGAGGGCAGGGGCACGACAACGACAACGGAGGGCACGACAACGACGGGGGACACGACAACGACGAAGGGGGACACGACAACGATGGGGGACACGACAACGACGAAGGGGGACACGACAACGACGGCGATGGCGATGAGGGAACGACAACGACGGTGGCGGCGGGGGCACCCTTCACCCCCGCCCTTGCCCCTCGTCCACCCCCTGTCATCTGCCTCGCCCTGCCTCGCCCTCTCGCCCACCTCGTCCGCCTCTCACCCATTCGCCCTCACTCACTCTCGCCCTCTCGCCCGCCTCTCACTCTCGCCCTCTCGCCCTCGCCCTCTCGCCCTCACCCTCTTGCCCCCACCCTCTTGCCTTCGCCCTCTCGCCCACCTCTCCCTCTTACCCGCCTCGCCCCTGCTGTCTCACGACGACGACGACGACGGGCGCAGAACGATAACGGCAGGCAAAGGACGACGAAGGTGGGCAGAGGACGACGAAGGCGGGCAGAGGACGACGAAGGCGGGCAGAGGACGACGAAGGCGGGCAGAGGGCGACAACGGCAGGCACGACGACGACGACGGCGGCGGGCACCCTCTCTGCGTCGCCCTCTCCCCCTCGTCCATCGCTCGCTCGCCCTCTGCCTCGCCCTCGTCCACCCCTCGCTCGCCCTCTGCCTCGCCTTCACCCTCTCGCCCTCTCGCCCTCTCACCCTCTCTCCTCTCGCCCTCTCTCCTCTCTCCTCTCTCCTCTTGCCTCTTGCCTCTCGCCCTCTTGCCTCTTGCCCTCTCCTTTGCCTTTGCCCTCTCACCCCTCGTCCACCCTCGTCCACCCCTCTCCCCCCCTCGCCCGTTCGCCCACCTCGCCCTGTCACCCACTCACCCACTCACCCTCTCGCCCATTCGCCCGCCTCGTCCGCCTCTCGCCTGTTCGCCCTCTCGCCCGTTCGCCCTCTCGCCCATTCGCCCTCGCCCATTTGCCCATTCGACCGCCTCTCCCTCTCACCTTTCACCGTCTCGCCATCTCGTCCGCCTCGCCCTGCCACCCTTTCGCCCTCTCGCCGCCTGCACGAGCGCGAGGAGGAGGGAGCACGAGGAGAGTAAGGGAAGAAGGGGAGTGAGGGGGAGGGCAGGGGGAGGGGCAGAGAGCAGGGGGATGGGTAGAGATCAGGGGGAGAGGGGAGAGCAGGAGGGGGGAAAGAGGGCAGAGCAGGAGGGGGTTGAAGAGGAGGACAGCGGCCCATCCACATCGAGCAGGACGGCGCAGAAACGAACGCGAGCACGACGACACGAGCACCGCAGGAGCACCGCGACGCCACGAGCAGGGCGGCGACAAACTACGGCCGTGGCAGGTGGCCCGTGCACGACGAGGATGACCGGGTACCCCCCAGAGCAGAAACGACACACTGTGATGCGTCGTTTCTGCTCATTATATCTTTATTTCACAGCGGGTGGCTGGTAGAGCCACCCGCACTATGTATATATTTTATTTCAATTTAATATGGTTTTTCGTAATTTTTTTCGTGTGTTATAAGATACCCCTGAGCTCCCCGGACGACGTGCTAGACACCGGCGAGAGCATTATAGGGATGTGTCATCGTTATTACAGCATAATCTAAAAATAGTGCCAGGGCCCGCAAAAAGGCCGCGTCATCCAAACGCATCTGGCCTAATCCACCCATTCCCGCCCCCCGACTATGGGGGAAATGGTGCACAACGATGAGGAAATATGTTTCCTCATCGTTCGCGGCTTTTCCCCGTCGAAAACGGTGGCGGGAGCACTGAGAATGACGAGGAACGATGCTCGGGCATTGTTTCCTGTGTTGTTTGCTTGTGTTGACAGGCCCCGCCCACAGCATTGAGCCCCAGCACGCACGGCAACGGCCTCTCCGTGGGTGGACTGTTTAATCACAGTCCTGACATGTGAGTGTACCCTGCTTAAATACAGTGTTTGATATATTTACCTGGCTTATAGAAGTGTGTGCCAGGACCAGTCTTCCATGGCAGAGTAGATCATCGCTCAGTGTATTCCCGTGCCCGAGAATTCCTCAGCTAGGGTCTACTCCAACTGTGGAGTTTCATCCAGACGTGTCGTGTTGCAGTTGGGGGGCTGTTGGGGGGCAGGGAAGTGTGTACCTGTGTCCAGTGTACCTTAGGAGGCATTCCTCAAAGAAGATCTGGTAATAGTATGCGGTTCTTCTGGAGATATGGTGAGATGGGTGTGCAGGAAAATGTGTGTTGAATCCTCCGTTTCTCCTGCACAGCCACATTCAACACACCCTTTTCATTATGTCAAGTGACCCACAACCAGCAAAACATGCGCGCATGCAAAGGAACACCTATTATGATTCCATTCCTCTGCAAGACAGTTTTCGCACCGTGCATGCCTGAGAAGGACGCCTTTGCCATGTTTCAGACGGCTTCCGTACCGCTCCCATCGAACGCAGCGTGCAGGATGATTTCGATCTCTGGGCTGTTGCAAAGTCCTGGGCTCCCATTGATGACCCAAACTACACCCTCGATTCGACCGACAACCTGTACAACAAGGTGCTAGAATGCGAGGTAATGTCCCTGACACCGAGGTGGACTTACCCAAGAAGAAGCAAAAGAGTCAAGTTTTGGTGCATGGTATCTTAATTTCTCACTGGTTGTTGCTCATCTAGATGTGCAGAGAAGGCCACATGTTGTGTGGAGAGATCTCCATCACCAGGAGTATCTCGACGAACTACTACAGCAGGCAGGAAGAGGGGATTTTCGTGGCACTACCAGCTGCCCTGATTGCATTGCGCGCCATGAGGATGTTCCAAGTGCGCCTGCATACCAATGTCAGGATTGCTTTCTCCTGGACTTAGTTTGTGCTATGTGCTGTATCAGGTGCCATAGGTGCCATCCTTTCCATCGGATTCAAGTGAGTACTCTCTACGATTTGTTATTTCTCAGTTGACATATCTTGCAGAAATGGGAGGGCTCTATATTCGTCAAGACATCATTAAAAGACTTGGGCCTCAAGATCCAGCTCAATCATTCAGGGTCGTTCTGCTCCAATCCCATCCTGTGTCATGTGAGTATGCTAGTACTGCACACCAATGGCATTCACGAGGTGGCAATCAAGTACTGCAGGTGTGTAAAGGCTATCCCCCTTCATATCCAGCTTCTACGACACCACCTGTATCCAGCATCTCAAATAGCTGTCAAGACATGTGCCAGCTTTGAACTACTGGACCACCTCCACACCCTTGCACTGACCACCAAGGCGTCTACATATGACTTCTATCGAGCTCTTGAGTTCTTGACGGCCAGCACGGGAATCGATGCCCTGAAATCCTGCTATCACACTCTCATGTGAATGCTCCTTCAGTGGCGCCATCTCCACTTGCTCAAGAGAGGCAGCCATGGTCATGACCCCTGTGGCACTGAACAGACTGAACCTGGTGCTCTTGCTCTGCAGTGCCCATCTTGCCCACACCCTGGTATAAACCTACCTCCTGGATTCGAATCAGTCGCAGCAGATGAGAAGTAAGTTTCTTTGTCCAACAAAATGATCACAATGCTGACACTTGCTAGATATCTATACATGAAGTTTATCTGTATGGATGCCAACTTTTGGTTAAAGAACCAGTTGGTCTCCAATTACTCTCAAGACCCCGGGCTCGGTGTTGGGTGGGCATACATGTTGCCCTGCCTCCCTTATGAGCAGTATGTTCTCAGCTGCATGAAGGACGAAGACGTAAGCAATGCCTCTGTTAATGTCCCAAATAAAGGCCTGATCTTTTGATCATTAGATTAGTACATGTGTCAGACTTCAAGTGCTCGCTCAAGCACACACGAAGAACACAAAAGGATTGCAGTATACCAGGGTCGGTGGGGCGTTTTGCGGAAGGTCAGAGATGATTCTTCCTCAGGGCGTGGGGAATCTGCAGAAAGGCGAACAGTGCGAGCTTATATATTCTAGCATGTGCAGAGCACTGACGTTAATTCTAGCTACGCAAATATGGATTTCATTTTTGGATCCGTACTCGCCACTGTCTTCCTTCCTCTGGTACTCATCAGCTATGACATCACCTGTCAATGGTTTGTAAACCTGAAGAAACGAGTTGATGAGCACTGGCCAGAGTCGCTCCGAGTTCCTGAAGGGACAAAGCTCATACCTGCAATACCAAAACTACATGAGCCGATGCATGAAGCCACTAATCATCAAGTTTTTTTGTTGAACTTCATACCCGGTGTTGGGAAATCCGACTTGGAAACCCCTGAATGTGTCTGGTCAGCACACAATGCCCTTGGGAATTCTACAAAAACACAGGCACCTGGGTCGCGACAAGACACCCTTGATGACAACTTTCAGTTCTGGAACTGGCGCAAGTATACGGGTTTGGGCCAAACATTGTTCAGGAGGTATAAGGCCGCAGTCACCGAGTGAAACATCCAGGTAGAAGCACATCACGGCCTTATGGAGACGCTTGAAGCAGTGGTGGTCAACAAGTGGGAGAAGACGTGCCTCCAGTGGGAAAAGGACCCCTTCCTGAAAACAAAACCTAACCCTTACCACATGGCGAGCACTAGTATGTCTATATTTTCTTTTGTTGAATAGTTCTAATTGTTTCTCGCAGCTTTGACGGAGGCTCAAGTGCAGAAGGAACTCAACGAAGAAGAGCAACAACACCTGGCTGCAGGCGCAACACCTCTCCATGCCACCACTGCATCCTTGTTCATCACGCTGGGGCTTGAACTGGAAGAGACCCAGTACATTATTTTATACTATTTCATGTGTTTCACTCTCTAATTCCTTTTTTCAGATGCAGGCTCTGACAATTGGCAAAGAAGGTTTCGGGATCACCCACTGCTCATCAAGAGGGCGGCCTTGTCAAGCAACACAACCAACTTCGTATTTGCCTAAGGGCCTGGGAGAAGCTGGTTCCAATTTACCTACCAGGTATTCTGCAGTATCAAGCCGACCTCCAAGCAATGAATCCGAGCCTATGTGCTGCGCCAGGGTATCCAGAAGACTCCAAGTTATGGCTGCCATCTGCTGTCGACACGCAAGCTCGTCCGAGGGTTTGCCTTGATGGCCTTCCTGAAATTGAGGAGAAACTCAGAACTGCGCAGTGCCACAATGCATTGGAAGGGATTCGCACTATACTGACTATCAAGAGTCGTATGGTGGCATTCAAAAACAAGAATGTACGAGGTCAACGAGAAGGCACTCGATCATGTGTTGTGATCGATCGCGTTCACGAGAGGGCAAGGGCAGCCACTGAGAAGTATCGAGCTGCACGAGCTGTGAAACTTGTGCTTTCTGGGCCAGGAGATTGGGTTCAAGAGCTGCAAGAGCTCGCCGACGGTGATATTCGGGGCTATCAAGACCCTAACTGCCTTGGTCCCTGCCCTGGACGGCGAGGAACTCTTGAGGACAACCTAATCGCAGACGGTGCAGGCGACTCCAGAGCACCTACTGAAGAACCACCAGAATTGACACTATTCAATGAGGAACGGACACGGCAAGATGGAACCGGTGAAACCCGGCGCACGCTTTGTTGGATCTGGCTCACCAAATCTCGCAGCCCGAAGCCGAACGACGCCAACAACAATATTCTCAGCTCAGAGTGGGCCAAAAGCCAAGCACAAGCAACACATTCAAAGGAAGAAGTGCTCCTACTATGTGAGGAAATGAGGAGGACACTCGAATATCTCACCTGGAAGGCGAAACAGTGGAGAAGCCAGGCGAAGGCCTGCACCCTGAGTGCAGATCTATCCGAGGGTCTGAATGCGTATGCTCTTGGTCAGGCTCTCATCCAAGACAGGTTGGCTTCCGCATTCCGCGCCCTCTGGAAATGCCCCCTTGAAGACAGCCTTGACGATATCCACAATGCAACATTACTTCACCCTGATGATGACGAGGCAGACGGCAATGAGGATGTCAATGAAGATGCAGATGGCAATGTTTCGGATGGAGATGAAAGGGAGTAATGGAAGGGCATGGAAGGGGACCACACATCAATGAGGCCACCATGAAGCTAAGCACAACCAGTGAGTTTTCATTGCTTGAATTCTACTACTAGCCACCCATCTATATGGGGAGGATGTATTTATTTCATGCTCTTATATTGCAATTTTTTTGTGATTTTTCTGTGTAATATTTGGGTGGCCTGAGGTTGCCGGACGCTGTGGCAGACGATGATGAGCAAAGTTGAAGGATGTTGACCATGATGACAGAAGGTTTATGTCATCACGGAAGGTCCGGGATGGTGGGTGAAACATCATCCAAACGTGCCAGCATCCATCCACCCCATTCCAATGCTCCTTGATGCACAGAAAGACCAATTTTGGGAGAAAACAATTAAGGAATTCCCAACAGCGGCATTCCCGACACCCAACATGTGCCCAATGATGAGCAGCACCCATGTTTGAGGCCACGCGGCCACGGTGAGCTGTGTTTGGTTGTTGTTTACACCTCCTGCTCTCAATCAGCAGTGCTGGACACCTGGCAGCCCATGTGGGGGCATCCTAAAACGGAAGGTAGGCAACTGCCCACCCAGGCATAGACTTGGACTTAGGAAACTATCTAGGTTTCTAAAAAATTCTAGCTTACATGGCTCATTGTGCGTGGTTCCTATTGCCACGCACGGCTATCGTCTCTGGTACTTTGATGGCGCCCTTGTTGTGGGCACCATGAACCAGCTCAAACGGATGCAGCAAAAAGCTGCTCCATGGATTACAGGTGCCTTCCACACCTCACCTACAGGCAGTCTTGAGGCTTTGGCAGGTCTCATCCCCGTCCACCTTATGCTGAAGAAGTTGGCAACCTGCGCAGTGTATCACGTTGCTACCCTCTTGGATACTCACCCTCTCCGCTCCATGATGGGCAAGAGACTCCTCAAATGGGCTGAACCACACACCCACTCAGCCGCCTTGATGACCCCAGCTATGTGAGGGAAAGTCAAGAGCACTGTCATGGAGGTGGGTGAGTGTGTCCACACCTTAACTGAGAGCTTTGAGCCCTTTGTGCCAGAAGCTCACCCTGGTGACTGGTTACTGGACCGCTTTGTGGACCGTGTCCATTTCGACAAGCGTGATCCTACCCAGGACAGGCGCCCATACCTTGACGAGCTCATCATGAAAGCGAGGGCCGACCCTCTAACAGTACTGGCCGCAACTGATGGCTCTGTCCCTCAGTCCAACCAGTATCAGGCGGCTTTGGCTGCCATCATCTACAAGGGACATCGCGAGCTCAAAAGGACTTGCTATGTCTCTGGCAGAGTCACTGCCCCTGATGTGGAACTCAATGCCATCATGTGTGCAGTGCGCCTTGCAGTCAAGCAGGCAAACTGCCAGCATATTATGGTCTTTACTGACTCTATCGGCTCGGCCCACAGGGCAGTAGACCCCTCTGTACATTCTGGTCAGGCTTTTAGTCTGTCAGTCTGTTGCACCCTCCAAGAGTGGTTTGAGGTGGATGATCTCCACCGCATCACCTTCATCTACATTCCATCTGCTCTGCAGTGGGACATCCATGGTGAAGCACAGAAGTATGTCACTGACCTTAAAGTCAGGGTTGGACGTTGTAAGACAGACAACTCTATAGACACGCTCTGCTCTCGAGCTGCACACTCAGTCCTGGATTTGTGGAGTTCCACTTTCCAGGATCCAACCTACTGAGGCTCTGAATTCTTAGAGCTTCAACGGCCTGACAGGCAGCTGATTCAGCCATCGTACCTCAATGGGGGACCTTGGCTCTCAACATTCGGACACAGTATCACTGAGTTCGCTTGAGTCTGCTGGTGCATAACTGGCCACACACCCATTGGAGCATATTACCATTGCTTCAAGATCAATGAGCCACATGGCTGCACTTGCAGGGCTGCATGGCAGTCTCACCAGCACATCCTCTTTTGCTGCCACGATAGATATTCTGTACACTATCCCCGTTTTCTTGGGGATATTGCATCATTTCTGAAGCACAACCCTATGGTGTTTGGCTTCAACCAGGAGCCTTTGGGTGTCGGATAATCGCTGCAGCGGGGTTGTCCCTCCTTTCAGGGGATTTATCGGTGAATTGACACACTCAAACCTTAGGGTTTGGAGACCTGCACCCGTGACAATTCCTTCATGCAGGCAGTCACCCTGTTTTGGTTGATTGCACAGCCATGTAAGCTAGAAAAATATAGAATACAAGGCAGTTTCCTAACTATGAATCTAAGCCCTGGAGGGCAATATGCTACCTTCCGCTTTGGGAAGGCTCTCCTAATAAGAGGGAGGGGCTGCCAGGTGCCCAGCATCTGCAAGGGTGATGAGGAGGGGGTAAATAAATTAGTAAGCATCCATTTCCGGGGTGGGCAGGTGGTGGGAGGTGCAGGAGGGGGGCGGGATAGGCCAAGCAGGACCCCAGGGCACTGCAGAGAACTGGTCATGTGACCTGTTTGCTCTGCAGCCTCAACCGGGGCCGTTTTTTGTGAAAAAAGTACCCAGGGCCAATGTGATAGTATGTTACTGTATGTCATAAGAAAATCAGGAGAATCTGGGATGTGGAATGTTGTGAAATGGCGTGTATGAGGTGTCACCTTAACTTGGCGTGCATTTATTTTTAGCACAAGCTGCTAAATTGGGATCTGGCATCAAAATAGCCATTGCTGGCGCATTTCGGGCTCGTTTGGCTTCCCCCTGGGTGGAAATTGATGGGAACGATGACGCGATAATTTTGAAGGAATTCATAGCTACCTGTAGACACCCAGAACGTGTGAATACGACCATTTTTGGTGATGTTATGGCCTAAACTGTGCTTCTATGCACAAAAATGCGAAAATGCGCACCTAATGCTCTGCCTCTCATGCATCCCTGCCTCATAAAAACTAGCCGATAATTTAGTATGCTACTAGAGCTTCAGAACGAGCCAATAATAATGGCCTTGCATGCATTATTGGTTATGCAATGGGCCTTTCGATGTTTATGTGCTAAAAAGCCGGAAAAGCGCACTCAAATCTCTATGCCACACATGTATCTATCCTTCCAAAACATTATGCGTTCAGATAGAGGTTGATAAAGGCTACAAAACGCGCTATTCAGCGTCTCCACGCGTTCATTTGTTCAAAAGATATACCCAAGACACTCCTCATCCCTCAATATCACAAAAAGCAAACTTCTGTATCTCCCCCAATTCTTATCCAAGACCTGTAGAGATTTTCAGTCAGTCTCACCCAGTGCCCTAGTCACTATTTACAATCACATAGCATGGTATACTCTCCCTTTTAATATAATATAAGCACCCCTTCCTCCTCCCCCTGAAAAGCCAGAAATGCGCCCTCCATTTACCATTCCCCAGGTTATTTATGTGAGCTGTAACATATATGCATATTAATAGTAGCCATATAGGTACCTCCATGCAAGAATGCAGGAGTTAATAATGCCAAATGCACTTGCAGTGGCCAATTTCGAGTTTTCTACCTATAATCACCTTGTTTGCCCCATGGGATGCCCAATTCTTCACCAATCTTCAAGAAGAAACATGTCCCAGAATCGGAACAATCTCCTCTTTAAATTCCAACACATTCAAGATGACCAATGTGACACCTTAGATAACATAAAAATCGGACTGATTGCCACTTTTAAGGAAATCAAGGATATATATAAGTAATCAGACAATGCAGAGACATTCTACTGACTACTTCTAAGTGTCCTCAAAAAGTTCTATTGTAATTGGGTCATTGTGGAAGGCAGAAGGTCTGAAATGAACCTCAAACAGACTGGTGAGGAGTGGTGATCACCGTATTGCCTAGTTTGTCAAATGTGTTCACCCCGGAAACTGGAGGTAGTATCATTGCTCACAGGTCTGAGAGAGCTTTAAAAAAACACCTGATAATTACTCTAATCTATAATATCTATTTTAAACATATTTTTACAAAATTTCAGAGCAAGGACTATACCTCCAATCCGAGGTAGAATCTTGGAGAGGGCAATTGAGAAGGCAGAAGGACAGTTGCATGAATAACATATTCAGTTCTTATTCAACTTGTGTCGGACTTTTTTTATATCACTCTAACAGTAGAATAGTAAGTATTCCGAGCTATCCGAGGAGATTTTGGGCACTAGAGGACATGCCAGAAGGATGCCATGTCCACCATCAACATTGTGGGAATCTCCTAGACAAGAAGGAGGAAGTGTCTTTGGTAACGGAATGGGGGTGTTTCTACACAGTCTGTCATCTCAAAGGTGTTGTAAGTTGAAAAGGAGATTGTTCCGATTCTGGGACATGTTTCTTCTTGAAGATTGGTGAAGAATTGGGCATCCCATGGGGCAAACAAGGTGATTATAGGTAGAAAACTCGAAATTGGCCACTGCAAGTGCATTTGGCATTATTAACTCCTGCATTCTTGCATGGAGGTACCTATATGGCTACTATTAATATGCATATATGTTACAGCTCACATAAATAACCTGGGGAATGGTAAATGGAGGGCGCATTTCTGGCTTTTCAGGGGGAGGAGGAAGGGGTGCTTATATTATATTAAAAGGGAGAGTATACCATGCTATGTGATTGTAAATAGTGACTAGGGCACTGGGTGAGACTGACTGAAAATCTCTACAGGTCTTGGATAAGAATTGGGGGAGATACAGAAGTTTGCTTTTTGTGATATTGAGGGATGAGGAGTGTCTTGGGTATATCTTTTGAACAAATGAACGCGTGGAGACGCTGAATAGCGCGTTTTGTAGCCTTTGATAGCCTCTATCTGAACGCATAATATTTGGAAAGGATAGATACATGTGTGGCATAGAGATTTGAGTGCGCTTTTTCGGTTTTTTAGCACATAAACATCGAAAGGCCCATTGCATAACCAATAATGCATGCAAGGCCATTATTATTGGCTCGTTCTGAAGCTCTAGTAGCATACTAAATTATCGGCTAGTTTTTATGAGGCAGGGATGCATGAGAGGCAGAGCATTAGGTGCGCATTTTCGCATTTTTGTGCATAGAAGCACAGTTTAGGCCATAACATCACCAAAAATGGTCGTATTCACACGTTCTGGGTGTCTACAGGTAGCTATGAATTCCTTCAAAATTATCGCGTCATCGTTCCCATCAATTTCCACCAAGGGGGAAGCCAAACGAGCCTGAAATGCGCCAGCAATGGCTATTTTGATGCCAGATCCCAATTTAGCAGCTTGTGCTAAAAATAAATGCACGCCAAGTTAAGGTGACACCTCATACACGCCATTTCACAACATTCCACATCCCAGATTCTCCTGATTTTCTTATGACATACAGTAACATACTATCACATTGGCCCTGGGTACTTTTTTCACAAAAAACGGCCCCGGTTGAGGCTGCAGAGCAAACAGGTCACATGACCAGTTCTCTGCAGTGCCCTGGGGTCCTGCTTGGCCTATCCCACCCCCATTCCGCCCCCTCCTGCACCTCCCACCACCCCTCCACCCCGGAAATGGATGCTTACTAATTTATTTACCCCCTCCTCATCACCCTTGCAGATGCCGGGCACCCAGCAACCCCTCCCTCTTATTAGGAGAGCCTTCCCAAAGTGGAAGGTAGCATATTGCCCTCCAGGGCTTAGATTCATAGTTAGGAAACTGCCTTGTATTCTATATTTTTCTAGCTTACATGGCTGCTGTCCCTCAGTCTAATCAGTACCAGGCGACTTCGGCCGCTATAATCTACAAGGGACATCACGAGCTCCAGAGGACTCGCTATGTCTCTGGCAGGGTTATCGCCTCTGATGCGGAACTCAATGCCATTGTGTGTGCGGTGCGCCTTGCTGTCAAGCAGGCAAACTGCCAACATATCATGGTCTTTACTGACTCTATGGGCTTGGCCCATAAAGCGGTGGACCCCTCCATGCACTCTGGTCAGGCTTTTAGCCTGTCAGTCTGTCACGCTCTCCAAGAGTGGTTCGAGGCGGATGATCTCTGCTGCATCACCTTCGTTTATGTTCCATCTGCATCACCTTCGTTTATGTTCCATCTGCATTGCAGTGGGATATTCATGGTGAGGCACACAAGTATGTGACCCAACTCAAAGTCAGGGTTGGACATCACAAGACGGACAATTCAATAGACGCGCTTTGCTCTCGAGCTGCACACTCAAGTCTGGATGCATGGGGCTCCATGTTCCAAGATCGTACCTACTGAGGCTCCAAGTTTTTGGAGCTTCAATGGCCTGACAGGCGGCCGATCCAGCCATCGTACCTCAATGGGGGACCCTGGCTTTCAACCTTCGGACATAGTATCACTGAGTTCGCTTGCGTTTGCCAGTGCATAACTGGCCATGTGCCCATTGGAGTGTATTACTGTTGCTTCAAGATTAACGAGCCTCATGGCTGCACTTGCAGGGCTGCTTTGCAGTCCTGTCAGCACATCCTCTTTTGCTGCTGCAATCGATACTCTGTACATTATCCCCGGTTTCTTGGGGATATTGCATCATTTCTGAAGCACAACCTGATGGTGTTTGGCTTCAACTGGGATCCCTTGGGTGTCGGATAATTGTTACGGGCAGGGTTATTCTTCCTTTTGGAGGATTTATTGGTGAATTGACACCCTCAAACCTGAGGGTTCAGAGACCTGCGCCCGCTCCACTTCTTTGCGCTTGCAGTTGACCTTCTTCGGTTGATTGATTGCGGCACTGCTAGCTCTCTGCATCTGGTTTCAGGCAGGCGCATCTCTGGCTTGTCGGCCTCAAGACACCCTGCCACCCCCCAGGTGGTGCAATTCTTATCTCATTTGCACTGAGTGGCCTCTGAACAGCGTCCGATGACTTTGGGGTTTAGCAGGGCCTCAATGGTCTCTTCCCCTTATCCCGCGCCACCATTTTCGTGAGGTGGGTCTGGCTTTGTGGGAGTTTAGGCATTTGAGCCACAAGGCTCGTGGTTGGGGAGGCGGACGTCTTTTAGTAGTTAACTTAGTACCCAGGCCATGTAGCGTACGTGTTTGTAGATAGCGAGCAGGCTGCCATCGAGCACCGCTATATAAATTGTTGATCAAAAAAAAAAAAAAAAAAAAAAAAAAAAAAGGACTGAGGAGATATGAGGCTCTGAAGTCCAGAGTGAGAAACTGGGGACTTTAGGCATCTGACAGCAGTCATATATATACTAAAGAACAAAGGGAAACCCAAATGGAGACTGGGAACAATAAGAATGATGAAGGTAACCAAGTGGATCAGATGAATCTACAGATGTATCTAGATAAGATGAAATTGAATGGGGATGGATCTAGACGACTTTGGGATGAGTCAGGTGATGTCACCTGATCATGTGAGGACACAGTCATGTGCAGTCATGTGGTCCAACCCCATATAGAAGTTGAGACATGTGATGGAAGTTTTAACACACCCCTGTGATCAAACATGTCTCAAAGTTCAAAAATTAAACCAAAACACCCATTCTGTCTCTGCAATATTGGACTTTGGGGATAGGTAGAGGTTTGGTGAGCAGGTCAGCAACCTGTTCAGCAGTGGGAATGTAGTGAGGAGTGATCACCCCCTCATTGACTGCTTCATGCAGCCAGAAGAAATGGAGGTCAAGTTGTTTCATATGTCCATGATGCTCTGGATTCTTGGACACAGTAATGGCAGATTGGTTGTCAATATGTAAAGGTGAAGCTTGTTTGACAGGATAGCCAAATTCACCATGGATGTTGCGCATCCAGTGAATTTCTTTGCCAGCTTCTACAGCAGATATGTACTCTGCTTTAGTTGTAGAAATAGTGACAAAGGGCTGCAACTTGCTTGCCCAACCAATTGCCCCACCAGCCAGTGTAGTGACATAACCAGCAGTGGAACGTCCAGTATCAACACACAATCACCATGAGCAGCATCAGAGTAGGTAGTAAACTCACAAGAGTCTACTTGACCATTGAAATGCAACTTGTGCTCCAGAGTTCCCTTGCAGTAATGCAAGAGATGCTTGACTGCAGCCCAATGTTTAGGGCCAGGATTGGAGCTGAAGCATGCCAAATAGGACACAGTATAAGCAATGTCTGGACGGGTTATAATGGCCCAGTACTGAAGCGAACCAACTGCACTGAGGTAAGGAACATTTCGCATGAATTCCACCTCATCACTGTTTTCAGGACCCATTGCCTTGGATAAGACAGTACCAGGTGCCATAGGAGTCTGGACAGGGTGACAGTCACTCATACCATAGCATTCAAGCATATCAAGAATAAACTGACGCTGATGGAGTGTGATGAGTTTCTTGTCCTTGTCCTGACCAATCCCAACACCCAGCAAGAACTTGGTGGATCCCAAATCACAGCATTTGAAATGTGTACAGAGGTCCTTCACAGCCTTGTCAATGGCAACATTGGACTTGGAAGCAAAAGTGATATCATCAACATAAATGGGGACAATGATTTTGACCACTCCATTGGAGTAAATGTAGACAGAGCAGTCAGCCTCAATGCGTTTGAAACCCATTTCAACAAGAGCAGCATGTAACTTCTTGTTCCATTGATGAGCAGCTTGCTTCAAGCCATAGAGAGACTTGCGCAGATGCAACACCTTCACTTGTAACAGCCAGACTTATGTATCAATAATAGCCTACTGGCAATTCTCGGTCATAAATCATAGCTGCCAGTAGGCAGCCAGGCTTTTTTATATGTGCTGCTGGGTTTGCCGGGGCCCGGGACTGTCTGCTGAGGCTGTAGGGGCACTAAACAATGACCAAACAATGCTCGGGGACATTGAATAGGGTGCTTGTCATTGTTAGGGGGCGGGACAGGGTGCAGGAAACCTTCTAAATCGGGTATGACGCAGGAGAATGCCTCTCTGAGATGTCTGGCGATGTAATTGGGGTCTAGCTTGCCATTGGGGACAGCGGGCAGTGCCATTTTTTGGGAATATAATGTTGGTGTATATTCTTACCTATTTCAGGTGTTTGCCCGCCTCACGGAGGGCAGGATGGGGTGGATGGGTGAGCGGGTGCTTGGATGACGTTCTAAATTTAGAACACAACATCCAGAGAGCTTGGACACACTCGAGAAAATGATGAAAAATCATATTAAATTGAAATAAAATTATTACATGATGTGGGTGGCTAGTAGAGCCACCCACTGTGAGGTATAGACAAAACGAGCAGAAACAACACGCCATGAATGTGCCATTTCTGCTTGGGGGACCTGGCCTGCTCACCCTCACGTCATGGTGGGTCGCCCTCGCCCTCGCGCCATGATCGCCCTCGCCTCGTGCTGGTCTTGCTTGGGGTCGTGTGGTGGCGATCCTGGTCAGGCTCGTGCCATTGTCGTCCTCGTCATCGTGCTGTCCTCGTCGTCATGCTGTCCTCATCGTCGTACTGTCCTCGTCGTCATGCTGTCCCTCGCTTGTGCCCATGCTGTTTTTGTCCTCGTCGTCATGCCGTCCTCACCCCGATGTCGCCATGCCCATGCTGCCGTGGCATGATCATCCTCGCGCTGTCAAATGGTCGTCGTTGTTGGCTGTCATCGGTCATCGTTCTCGCCTGGTCATGGTGGTCGTCCGCTCGTCGATGCCGTCGTGTCCGTGTTGGCCTCATGTTCATGCCACCGTCGTGTCCACTCCTGCGGCCTTGTCATCGCCTGGCTGCCATGCTTGTACTCATGTCACCACCATCCCATCCTGTCACCATTGCAGTCATTCTGTAGTTGAACGTGGGCCTCGTTGAATGGCGAGAGGGAGGTGAGAGGTGGTGGTCGAGGCAGAGGGCAAGGGAAGAGATGTGCGGCAGGTGGATAGAGAAACAAGGAGTGGGCTGACACCGTGGTAACGGCCCGCTCGTGCTTGTGTTTGTGCTCCACCACCCGCTCGCCCTGCTCGTGTCGTGGGTCGTGTTCAAGCCACCTGCCCTCTTGCTTGCAGCACCCTCGCTGCTGTGGTCAGGTCGCCACCACCACGTTCGTCGCACTACGGCTGCTGTGGTCGTCTCACAGCCGTGTTTGTCTGGCCTTCCTGGTGTGTTCATCCTGTTGTACCCATTGTTTTTGCGATGTTCTTTTTGCCCCCATCTAGCGTGCTTGTGCAGCTCCACCCACTCATCGTCCTCCACCTGCTTGTTGTCCTGCACCTGCTCATGCTTGTGTTCGTCCCGCCACCATGTCGTGTTCGTCTTGCATTCTGGTATGTTGGTCCTGCACTCGCTGTTATACTCATGTCAGAGGCAGGAGAGAGCACAGGCACGGGCTCTCGGGCGAGAGAGGGTGAGAGGCGGTTGGGGAGAACACCACCCCAATGTTACACAACATCTCTAAGATGCCGTGGCTCCGCGGATGGGGGAAGGGAAGAAGAGGAAAAGGAAGGGGCACAGAGAGGCTGCAGCAAGCGTCGGCAGGTGGGTGGTGGACAAAGGGTGACACCCACATCCCTGTTCAGGGGGAGGGGTGGGTGAAGGGTAAGGTGAGAGGGCGGGGCGAGAAGCTAGAGGCATGGGAGCAGGGTACAGCAGAGCGGAGGGAGGTTGGTGTGGGAGGTTCAGAGAGGGGGTGTTCATACCCAGTCCACATCCCTATTGAGGGGGAGGCGCGGAAGATGTAAAAAACAAACGTTGACTGTTTTCCGATGTTCATGACTTAATTTCAAAATAAAACATGTATTAGTGTATGTATATATGAATACAATATGTTACTTACCTTGTTTCCCAGCTCTGGGGCGTTATCTGAGGTGTTGGACGGCAGGGAGGAGCGCCAGGTGGCAGTTGTGGACGAGCATCAACAACTCTGGTCATCGTTGATGGCTTATCTGGCAGATGCCGTACCCCACCTGATTGGCTGGAATCTGCGGCCCGTTTCTCCGTGGTTCCGCTCATCCATGATGGAATCGCTATTCCACAACACAGAGCAGGAAAATAATTTGTATAAGCCTTGGTATCTCATCCCGTAGTATACTCATATCTATTTGTTTATGTCCGAGGCTAGTTTTATGTTAGACAAGTGTTAAACAACAATGTCCTATATATGTCTACCATAATCCCAATCTCAAGGACTATATCTTATGTATGAGAAGCTACAAATCGATGGGTAAAAGTCTCACAGAGCACTAATTAATAAATATTACATCTGGATACTGAACTTTCTGAATGGCAACTTGCAGCTCTTACAAGCAGATGAGGGATGTAGTGAAACTCAGATTGGTACAATGTACACATTTGAGGAGTTTCTTGACAATCACCCTCATGACTGGTAGACCATAAAATAGTTCATTTAAGCTTTAAATACATAGATTACTACTTCCATCAGATTTAGAGCGTCGGCAAGTTGGAATGAATGCGAAATACCAAGTTGAGTGCTGCAGGTAATGGTGGTCCTGTGGTGATCTCGGTATGACAGCTGTTGGACCATCTGCTCCAGCCAATGGGATGAGAGACGGTATTTGCCGGATAACGATCAACGACAGTTCGTCGTTGTTGATCTGTATCCTCCACCACACCACCCTCTGTGCACCATCCCCCAGTCATGAAACACAAAGAAAAAGGTAAGTTAATGTCATTTTGTCTATCTATACACATACTAAACTGTTTTCCCCATCACAGGAGCCCACCCATGCCAATGATGACGCGAAGCCACTGTGTGCCTCTCCCCTCGCGATAGGGATGTCGGCCGGTGCCAATTGATGCCCACCTCCACCCTCCCTCCTAGCCACGTCAATTCCACCGTCTCACTCTTGCTCTCACATCCCTCGTGCCCGCCCTCTCTCGCCCGCCCTTGCCCTCACCCTTGCCCTCGTCCACTCCCTCACCAACACTCACCCACCACGACCTCACATCACCTTACCCCGTCACTCAGACACTCCTGCTCTGGCCCAGCACAGTACCCCTCGCCTTCTCTTGCCTCTCCCACCACCTCCTTCCCCTATCCTCAGAGTGGGTGTTTTGCGGAGGCTGCGTAACATTCGGATGAAGTGGTGTTGCAGGACGAAACAGTGACAGCATGTGAGGATGAGCAAAGCAGGTGAAGGAGAGCAAAGGGGTGTGAGGGCAAGGATAGGGAAGGGTGTGTGAGGACAAGTAAGGGCAGCTAAGCATGGGCAAACATATGAACAGCGGTGGTGACGCTATGGGTGATTCATTCGCCCTCTCGACCACCCTTTCCTCTCCCCTGTTCACTCGCCCTTGACAATACCCAAGACGATGGCCATGGCAACAGCATGGGCGACACAACAAGTACAATGGCCGGCCGCTCTCATCCTCTCGTGCACGCCTTCTTAGCACCCACCACCTCGCTCATTCATCACCACCCCACCTCACTGCACGACTTCACCTCACCACCTCACCTCACCCCGAGCCCTCATCCCTCCAACTCTCGCCTAACTCCTCTATCACTCAACAAAGATGGGCTGCTCTTGCCAAGCATCTGTCTAGCAACCAGCACGGCTGCCTCTCCTCCCCTCTCGTCCCCTCCTTCCCCTCATCCTTGGAGCCACCGTATCTCAAAGATGTTGTGCAATGATGGGATGGGGGTGATTTTTTAAGATGAGGGCAAGCCAGCGCAAACGGGGGAGAGGGGACGAGGACGAGGACGACGGCGCACGAATGACAAGCAAAGAAGGGGATGACGGTGACTTGCAGCGGTGGCGCAACAAGCCCGATGGTGCCGAGATGGGCACGACGACAACGAGACGACGGCGGGATGAGCACAATGGTGGAAAGATGGCGGTGGGACGAGCATGGCAGCGGCAAGACAACAGCAGCTACACCGACATAGTGGCTACCAGAGCACGACAGTGGCAGCCCGAGCATAGCGGATCGATACAAGTACGGCGACAATACGAACATGGCAACAGGGACATCAGCACGACGGTGTGGACACCAATGCGGCCCCCCCACGATGCCAACATGTCGCTCCGCAGACATGGCTATGGCGACACAAGCAGGACAGCAACAGTGTGAGGAAGAGGGTGGCAGTGCTAGAGGGTGTGGACCAATAGGACAGGCCATACACGATGAGGACAGCCGCAAAGGTCCCATAGAGCACAGACGACATGTTCATGGTGCATCGGTTCTATTCTTTTTCCTTGTATCTCTCAGCAGGTGGCCTTATGTGCTGCCTGCATCGTGTACATATATTTTCACAATTTATTATGATTTTTTGTGCTTCTTAGGTATGCTCTAAGAATGCCCGAGCTCGCTGAACATCGTGATGGACGACGGTGAGCAGGACTCCACCACAATATATGTAGGCTGCACCATGATAGAGACCCAATGGTCTATAATTCATGGGGTCACGAAGGAGCAGAACGGAATGGGTGACCCCGAGGATGACACATCTAAAAATAGAACTACATCCAAACACCCACTCACCCATCCACCCCCTCCCACCCTCCGTGAGACACGCAAAGACCTGAAACAGGTTGTATTCTATCCCGACATTATAATTCCTGAGAATGGGGCCACCTGCTGTCCCCAACGACAAGCTAGAGGCCACTTACATTGCTGGGCATCTTGGAGAGGCATTCTCCTGTGTCGTACCCAATTTGGAAGCCTTCCCACACCCTGTTCCGCCCCCAACGATGACAAGCACCCTATTCAATGTCCCCAAGCATTGTTTGGTCATTGTTTGCTGTCCCTTCAGCCTCGGCAGACAGTCCTGAGCCCCGGCAAACCCAGCAGCACATAGAAAATAGCCTGGCTGCCTACTGGCAGCTATGATTTATGAACGAGAATTGCCAGTAGCCTAGTTTCATAGATAATTCTAGCCTACATGGCTGACACCTTGTTAGGCCCCCCCTGATGGTACCCCTCTGGTTGGAGCATATAGATCTCCTCTTCCAGATTGCCATTAGGAAAAGCAGAGGTAACATCAACAGAGCGGAGGTGCATGTCCTCTATTGCAGCCAAAGCCAGAATCAAGCACAGAGTGGCAAGACGAAATGTGGGAGCAAAGACTTCAGTGTAGTCAATGCCAGGGTGTTGGCTGTAACCCTTTGCCAAAATCCTAGCCTTGTACCATTCAATAGTACCATCTGCTTTAAACTTGATTTTAAAGACCCAACCTGAACCAATAGCCTTCTTCCCAGGAGGTAGATCAACAATCTCCCAGGTCTCATTTCCATTGATTACATTATACTCATCCTGTGTAGCTTCCTCTCAAAGATGTCTGTCATCACCTTTCATGGCCTGTTTGTAAGTCCATGGATCAGCACCAGCAGCCAATCCAGCAAACTGGACTTCCTCATAACCATCCTCATCATCAGCATCTCCAGGTTCATGTACCTTGTGAGTCACTTTCCACCATTCACCAGGAGGTTGGCTCACTCGAGTTGAGCAATGTGGCTCAGGAGCCTCTGGTGGAGGAGGAGGTGAAGGTGACTGTGGTGGTGAAGGTGATGGAGAACGTGGAGGAGATGGTGGAGGAGGAGATGGTTGAGGAGATAGTGGCTGAGATGGTGGAGGACTAGGGCCAGGTAGAATAATAACAGGAGGCTCATCAGGCAAATCAGGAAGATTGGCCATCTGAGGTAAGGGAAGCTGTCCAGGTGGAGTGAGATCTACTTTAGCTACTGGGCCAGTAGACAAGCCAGGAAAATAATGCTCATCAAACCTATGCACATGTAGACACCCTCCTCGAAATTTGTAAAACAAAATTTGATATTCTATTTTTCCAAGAAACCCCTTGGAACTTCATAAGACATGCACCATCCACCACTAGTATGGAGGGCGATGAGGTTATCAGCACACCAAAGCATCCTGACTGGTTGCAAATGGTGCATATTAAGGAGGGCGAAGTCCCTCACGTGATCACCTATGTTTCGACTAGGCTTTCCTGCTATCGTCCCACTATGCGCTGCGACATCCTTGTCCTGTCCCTCTTCAGTGGGGGTGAGGTTCTTAATCTGATGAATGTCTATTCTGACAATCAACATACAGCCATTGAGCACCTCACTGCTCGTGTGCATTCTCTCCTGCCCTTCATATATATGGCTGGCAATTTTAACTGTGTATTGACGACTTGGGATGATTATGAGCATGGCGAGTTGTCAACGGCAATATCCCTGCGGGACACCGCATCTCAGATCGGCCTCGAGTGGGCATGACCTTCTAACCACGGACCGACAAGGATCAGTCCCAATCCAAATCAGAGATCCAATGTTTTGGATCATGTATTCTTAGCTCCATCTGAGATCTTAATCTCAATGCCCAGATTGGAGCATGATCTCCAGGGTCCATCAGATCATGTCCCGATCTGCGCAGATCTTGATATTGGTCCCGAACCGCCCAGATCTGGGCGACAGACAATTAAACCCGGAAGCGAGGCTGAGAAGTCCTTCATTTCGGACATCCTCCAGGATCTTGCGGCTATTGCTGTCACAGCCCTGGCAACCAAAGAAGGTGTTGAAGCTTTAGCCGATGCTATCGTGACAGCGTTCTCAGACGCATGGCTCGCCCACTCGACTGAGTCCAAACCTACCAAGCACTCCAAGTCCTAGTGGACAGACAAGTGCTCAGAGACTTTCAGAGTATATCAGTTAAGCCATTTGCTTACTGATTACAACAAGTTCAAGAAGGCATGCAAGGATGCCAAGCGTAATTTCTTTGATGAACGTATCGCAGAGATTGCGACTTCTTGCAAGCACCTGTGGGACCTGATGGAGTGGGTCAAACAGCACAAGCTACCACCCTGCGAGGCTATTCGCAACAGCGATCAGCCTTGTCACGATATGGATGATCTTTGGGATGCCCTTCATGGCACATACAACTTGGCCTCTGGTCACGAGTACGACACCTCCATCTTAGACGATCTTCCTGACGAGCCGGTCCGTGAGTGGGCTGACTTTTTGGAGCATGAGTTATTGAGTGCCCTTAAGGGGTGCTCCAACTCCTCTGCACCAGGACCAGACCATGTTACATGGGTCCACCTAAAGGAGTTGCTCAAGGATAAACATGTCCTTGTGCTCTTCATTGTGTTGGCTAACGCTTGCCTTTGGGTGGGTCACTGGCTGCGCATATTCAAGGAGTTGCTCTCGGTTATCGTACTGAAACTGAATAAGCCCTCCTATGCAGTCCCAAAGGCCTTCAGGCCTATTGTACTCCTCATCACTTTTGGTAAACTTATTGAGAAGATGATTGCCAACAGGATACAGTTTGACACTGTCAAACATGATATCTTTCATCCAAACCAGCTGGGTGGTATCTGCCAGAGGTCAACTGAGGATGCTGGATTGATTCTGACTCATCTCATGCAAGCGGGGTGGGTTAAGGGTCTCCAGACTAGCGCACTGGCTTTTGACATTGTGCAGTTCTTCCCTTCTATCAACCATGAAATGTTCATGGCTGTCCTACGCAAGCAGGGGTTCTCACCAATCTTGGTGGATTTCTTTGCCTCTTACCTTGTTGGTCGTTCCACACAAAGCGGCGCCACTCAACACAATGCTCCTCTCCTTTGTGGACGATGGGACTATCCTGGCCCAGTCCAAACAACTTGATGATAATAATGTGGGCCTGCATAAGGCCTATAAGATTATCTACCTTCTTTTTGTTGCCTTCACGCTCGTTCTTGAACACAACAAGACCAAGCTGTTCCACTTTTCGTGTCGATGAGACGCCTATAATCCTTTGCATGATCTGGGGTATGCCCCACATACAGGTGCTACACTCTTGAAGCCCAAGACCTATTGGAGGTACTTGGGCTTCTACTTTGACCACAGGCTCACTTTCCATGAGCATGTTCGCTACTATGCCACCAAGGCATTCACCACCATGCAAGCCATGCGCATGCTTGGGAATTCCACCAGAGGTCGATGACAGCAGGCCGACCAGGGCGCCAATAGCAGGACGAGCAGGGCAACAACAATGAGAGAACAAGCATGTGACGGTTTTGCCCTTGCCCTTGCCTCACCCACCCCCTCTCGTACACCCCCTCCAGCCCATGACCAGTTCAAATTATCTCAGACGCTTGCCCTCACCGCCTCACCGCCTCAGCCAGCCACCCTTTCACTTCAGCTGTCCCCCATCTGAACATCACACAGCGGATGAACAGCAAGTGTGCCAGCAGCGTAGGGGAAGACGACGACCAGGCGGCATGATGACAAGGACGGCACAACGACGACAATGGCACAACGATGAGGACGGCACAACGGTGAGGACGGCATGAAGACGATGAGGACGGTGAGGACAGCACAAAGATGATGAGGACAGCACAAAGATGATGAGGACAGCACAAAGATGACAAAGACGACGAGGATGGTGCGACGAGGACAAGGATGGTACAAAGACAACAACGAGGACAGTACAAAGACAACAAGAATGGCACAAAGACAATGATGAGGACAGCACAAAGACGAGGACGGTACGAAGGCGACAATGAGGACAGTACAAAGATGAGGACAACAATGGTACAAAGACAACGACAGCATGAAGATGACGAGGACGAGCCTGAGCAGGATCACCACTGCATGACCCCAAGGAAGACCAGCATGAGGTGGGGTGGGCACAACTAGCACGAGGCAAGGGTGAGCATGGCCAGTACGGTGGCGAAGGCAAGTATTACCCTGAGCAGAAATGACATGCGATGAACGCATTGTTTCTGCTCGTTTTGTCTATACCTCGCAGTTGGTGGCTTTACTAGCATCTGACGTCGTGTAGTAATTTTATTTCAATTTAAGATAATTTTTTGTCATTTTTTCGAGTGTGTCCGAGCTTGCTGGATGTTGTTGTTCTAAAATTAGAACATCATCCAAACCACCACCCACCCTCCTCTGAGGCAGGCAAATACCTGAAATAGGTAGTATTATATCCCGACATTATAATTCCCAGGAATAGTGCTGCCCGCTGTCCCCAACGGTGAGCTAGAGGCCAGTTACATTGCCGGGCATCTTGGAGAGGCATTCTCCTGTGTTGTACCTGATTTGGAAGCTTTCCTGCACCCCATCCCACCCCCCATGACAACAAGCACCCTATTCAATGTCCTGAGCATTGTTTGGTCATTGTTTAGTGTCCCCACAGCCTTGGCAGACAGTCCCGAGCCCCAGCAAACCCAGCAGCACATAGAAAAAGGCCTCGCTGCCTACTGGCAGCTATAATTTATGAATGAGAATTGCCAGTAGCCTACTTTCATGTATATTTCTAGCCTACATGGCTGCCACCTAAAGGAGTTGCTCAAGGACAAACACGTCCTTGTGCTCTTCATTGTGTTGGCCAATGCTTGCCTTTGGGTGGGTCATTGGCTGCGTATCTTCAAGGAGTCACTGTCAGTTATCGTCCCGAAGCCGAACAAGCCCTCCTATGCAGTGCTGAAGGCTTTCAGGCCTATTGTACTCCTCATCACTTTTGGTAAACTTATCGAGAAGATGATTGCCAACAGGATACAGTTTGACACTGTCAAACATGATATCTTCCACCCAAACCAGCTTGGCGGCATTTGCCAAAGGTCTACTGAGGATGCTGGATTGATCCTGATCCATCTTGTGCGAGCGGGGTGGGTTAAGGGTCTCCAGACTAGCACACTGGCTTTTGGCATTGCACAGTTCTTCCCTTCTATCAACCATGACATGTTCATGGCTGTCCTACACAAGCAAGGGTTTTCGCCAATTTTGGTGGATTTCTTTGCTTCTTACTTAGTTGGTCGCTCCACAGTTTACTGTTGGAACACCTTCCAATCTGACCCGCAGTCTGCGGACATGGGTGTCAGGCAGGGCTCTGCTCTCTCACCTGTTATCTCTGGGCTCTTCATTGCCCTGGTAATGAAGCTCTTCTACATCAAGGCGGCACCGCTGAACATGACGCTGCTCTCCTTCATGGATGATGGGACCATCTTGGCCCAGTCCAAACAACTCGATGATAATAATGTGGGCCTGTGTAAGGCCTATAAAATTATCTACCTTTTATTTGTTGCTTTCACACTCATCCTTGAACATGACAAGACCGAGTTGTTTCACTTTTTGTGTTGATGAGATGCCTACAATCCCTCGCTGGATTTGGGGTATGCCCCACATACAGGTGATACACCTTTGAAACCCAAGACCTATTGGAAGTACCTGGGCTTCTATTTTGATCACGGGCTCACATTCCATGAGCATGTTCACTATTATGCCACCAAGGCATTCACCACTGTGCAGGCCATGTGCATGCTCAGAAACTCTACCAGAGGTCTTTTGCCCAAACAGTGGTGCCTCCTTTACAGATCTTGTGTGGTCCCCATCGCCACGTACGGTTATTGTCTCTGGTATTTCAATGGTGCCCGCAACAAAGGTGCCATGAACCAGCTTAAACAGATGCAGCAGAAAGCTGCTCTATGGATTACAGGTGCCTTCTGCACCTTGCCCACAGGCGGCCTTGAAGCTCTAGCAGGTCTCATCCCTGTCCATCTCATGCTGAAGAAGCTGGTGACACATGCAGTGTATCGCATTGCTACCCTCTCAGACACTCATCCTCTTTGCTCCATGATGGGCAAGAGACTCCTCAAACAGGCTGAACCACATGCCCGCTCTGCCGCCCTGATGACCCCTGCTATGCGAGGGAAAGTCAAGAGTACTGTGATGGAGGTGGACGAGCGTGTCCACACCTTAACTGAGAGCTTTGAGCTTTTTGCGCCTGAAGCTCGCCCCAGTGATCGGTTACTGGACCGGTATGCAGACTGTATCCACTTTGACAAGTGCGATCCTACTCAGGATAGGCGCCCACACCTTGACAAGCTCATCGCTGCTGTGAGAGCTGACCCTCTGACAGTACTGGCTGCAATTGATGGCTCTGTCCCTCAGTCTAACCAGTATCAGACAGCTTCAGCTGCCATCATTTACAAGGGACATTGCGAGCTTGAAAGGACTCACTATGTCTCTGGCAGAGTTACTGCCCCAGATGTGGAGTTTAATGCCATTGCATGTGCAGTGCGCCTTGCTGTTAAGCAGGCAAACTGCCAACATTATGAGGCCTTTTTAAAGGACTCATTCTTTATCAGCCCAGGACTTAGGCAGAATTTTTATTCATTGATTCACTCTTCAACACTGCAGCAAAAACCTTCCAAAAAAGGAAATTTTGATCAAAAAGATAGAGATTCTTTGGGGCCTCCCGAATCTTTTTAGATCATGTGATTAGCTTCATTTCTCATGAAGATATTAATGATTTACTGTCAAAATTTCACAGAAAAGTGTCCTGTTTTTTTTTTTTTTTTTTTTTTTTTTTTTTTTTGCATTTTTCTGAATAAGGAATAAAGCTAGTCACATGATGAGACCACATATAGGCTTGCCAAGACATTCTCTATCTTTTATGATTTTTGCCTTATACGGCAGTTTGTTCCTATGGATCACATGTCCACACTCCAGACTTGAAATTCCCTCGAAAATGAATTTCTGGTGCCAGATTAGATTAGATTAGTCTGCTTATTCAGCATCTAAAGACAGCCCCAACTTGGGCTTGCCAGCTCATCACTTTCCCTCAATCTTGTTTTCCTCTTTCCTCCACAACTAATGCAGCTATCCCTCCAGTTCTTTTTGCTATGGCTTCAGGCCACTCTCCTCTATCTTCTGGTAGCATCTCCTACTCTATCAGGATCAGGAATGCTCCAGAAAATCTCAAACTCTGTTAATCTTTATCAAAATCAAGCTGATCAGGCCTATAAGTTGTTTTTTCACTGTTTTTCAGATGTTTTCTGACTCAAGTATAATGTTTCTCAATTAGATCCTGCATATTCCTACTCTACTGGCCTGTCAGAAGATATGATTTCAGCTCTTTTCAGTATTCTAGCTTAATTTTGCTCTTTTTGAGAGATTTGCTGATTAATCTTTTTACTTTCTTTTAGATACTACTTTTTCTGATGCTTCTGATCAGAAAAACATTGTTTCTGACTATTCAGATGAGTTTCCATATCAGAATATTTCAATTTCTCTTGCTAAAGCTTAGTTTTAGAAAAACACCAAAAAATTAATTTCATTGTCTCACATATGTCTAGTCATTATTTTTTAAATGCATTCTAGCTCATATTTAGCTTTAGAATCAATTGGTCTAGGTGGTATTCTCCAACAAGAATACTCTCATAGTCTTCAATAAGATTAATCTCATATCAAGTCATTTCTACAAGTTTATTCTTGTGCTGATATTCCTTTACAGGTTCTATCTTATGTCAATATATCTTTATGAGTACCATCTCATATCAAGTCAGTTCTATATTCTTTATTGTATGTAAAGTCATATTTACTAGATTTATTTTGCATCAGTGTTGATAGTGGAACTCTGTCTCTGAATTTTGAAAACCGAGTTAGAGGGACTTTGTCTCCAAGTAGAATTGAACAAAATGTTTATGATGATCAGTTTCAAAATTTGAAATTGACTATGAAATACGACAATGAAATTTTGATCAATGGATTTAAAAAGTCAAGTTGCTTGAAGCAAAATATTAATGACTGTTATCCAGATTCAACTTATTGGTCAGAATTATATCAAAAGTTGTCTTCATCTTTTATTTTGCAATTATATCTTCATCTCATCTCATTAAATCAATTTTGAATATGTTCGATCTTACTACAAGAGATTCTCTTGTATTTGTTAAATGTCAATTAATCAAACTTCAATTATCACATAATTTTCAATATCGCCATGATTATATTGCACTTTTAAGTCGACTAGGCGATTTTGATTTATCCAGTCTTTTCAGAAAGTTATAGTATATTCACACATCTATTTCTTATATACTATATTTCTACCCTTTAAACAGCTTGTAATTGCATTTAAGCTTGATGCAAATCAAGCTATCATCAGTAAACCTTCTATTCCTTATTTATTTGGAGGTGGTTCTATATATATGTTCAGTGCAAGTGAACTTTCAGAATATTCTGAGAAAGTACAGGATAGTCAAGAATATTCTTTCAAAGCCTATATTACTCAGAAAGTTCTAGATGACAATCTTTCTAGGCTTTCAAGCTGTTTAATTATTGAAAATATTCCACTATTTGTGATCATTCAACATTTAAATATTAAATCACTCAAAACAATTGCATCAGGTCATAATATCAAGTATAACTCAAAAATAAAACTTGTTGACTTGCAAAAATTGATTCTTATACATGATTGCAATAATTGTTCTAGTTATTATTCAATATTCAATATTCATTCTTTGCTAGTAAAAAGAGCAAAAATGAAGGAGCAAAATCTTGCCCAAGTAAAGAAGTATCAAACATTACATTCTGAAACATATAAAAAAGACCATTTGAACACAATCAAAAAATACACCAGTCTAAGTCCAGAAAAGACTAGAGTAGAGAATTTAAATTCTGTGAAGCACTATCAAAATAAAAATACAGAGTCATATCATATAAGTAATCTTGAATCTGTAAAGAAATATCAAATGAAAATAAGTAATCAGTTTCCACCAATACCACTATCAAAAAATCTTCAACAAAAAGTTGTAAACAGTTTTTGTCAAAGCTCATCTATTTCAATGTTTGAAGAGACAGGCTGCACAGTTTGTGGAAAACTAACTCTACTCAAAGATTTGCAGAAACTATCAGACACCAAGCTGAATCTGAAAATATTAAATCAGAAGGGAGTTACAGTCAAAGAACGGTTTGCAGATTCTGATGTATTTGATGACCTTGAAGAACCCATTATTGAAAATGATCTTGATTCAATTTGTTCTCAATGCTTCAAGTCCATCTTGAAAGGAAAAATACCAGCTCTAGCACTAGCAAATGGAAAATGGATTGGCAAAGTTCCACCTCAGTTGCAGAATCTTTCTTATGCAGAACAACTTCTAGTAGCTCGAGTATGTCACAACCACTGTCTTGTACGAGTTTCATCTGGTATGCATAAAATGCGAGCTAATGCTATTTCATTTGCAAATCCAATGCCTAAAATTTATAATACTCTTCCACCTCCAATTGAGGAACTAGATGATGTTCTGGCATTTATTTATACTGGTCCTTGCAAACCTACTAAGTCTGACTTTGAGAGAATTCCACTTCTTGTACAAAGAAAGAAAGTTGCTGCTGCACTTGAGTGGTTAAAGTTGAATCACTGTGACTATTTTGACTTGGAAATTTCATATGATAATCTCCAGAAGATGAGCCTCCAGTAGTAGTCGAGTACAAAGAATCATTTTCAAATAAAGATCCTGAGTCAACAGCTGTCAATGACATGGAAGATGAAGCTGGAGTTGAGAGTGGAGCTTGTCCATTTATTGTCCATGGTGTTACTGGTGAAGAATATTCATCTAAAAGTCTTAAAGCACTCAAGGCAATTGCTCTAAAGCATTTGACAGATAATGGAAAAATTCTTGCTATTGGACATAGTAAAAATCCTGAGTCAATATATCATAATCCACAGCTATTCCCTCAGATGGCTCTTTCCATATGGACTTGGTGGAATTGGAAATGCTCTTCAGAAGAATTGAGTATCAGATATTGCACATAAAAGACATCTGCTTATGTACTATGATAAATGGTTTCAGACAGATCCTCACTTCCCCCCTTCAATCATGAGCAGATTAGTGCACAACTGCTGGATATTTATTAGCTGAGAAGCCCAAGTTTGATCAGATATCTGAACGACTTCTTGATATTGATGTTGAAGTCCTGTCAGATTTAATTAAGCAACTTGAGGATAATGAACATGTTAAGCCAGAGTCTGAAGAAGAAAAGCTATGCTTCCAGCTGATTAAAGACTTGGACCATGTTGGTGGATTTGTTAAAGGATCAGTTACAAGCAAGAAGTATATGCGAAATGAAATCTGGTCACTTATGTCATTTATTGGTGCATCTTCTTGGTTTATAACTTTTGCTCCAGCTGATAATAAGCATCCAATCTGCCTGTATTTTGCTGATACCAAGGAGAAGTTTAGTCCAATATTGAGAGAGGATAATGAACGCTTCAGACTTATTGCACATAACCCAGTAGCTGGTGCAAGATTCTTTCACTTTATTTGTGAGCTGTTTATTAAGCATATACTTGGGGTCAGAGCCAAACATTCTGGAATATATGGTAATACTGATGCTTACTATGGTACAGTTGAGCAGCAGGGTCGACTTACTCTTCATATGCATATGCTTATCTGGATTAAAAGTGCTCTATCACCTCAGGAAATTCGTGATAAAATCATGGACCCCAGAGATTGGCGTTCACTTTCAGAAAAAAATTGTTGAGTATTTAGAAAGTGTTCATGTTGGAGAATTTCTTACAGGATCCAAAGATGAAGTCAAAGAAAATATTGAGACTGTTAAAATGAATAAAGATTATCAAGATCCAACTCAGACACTGCCTGTTCCACCACCACCAGAATGTAAAGACTTGTCATGTGAAGGAACTTGTTGCAACTGTGCTGAGCTTGAGACTTGGTGGTCAAAATTCAAGACTACAGTTGATGATCTTGTTTTCCACTCTAATATTCATACTTGTCAAGGCCAGAATTCAGATGAGAAGGCAGCTAAAAAAGACTTGACCAGGCTGTATAAATAAACATGGAAACTGTAAAGCCCATTTTCCAAGACAGACCCATAATCAGACTGAAGTAGATCCCAAGACTGGAGCACTTAATATCAAGAAAGGAGAGGCTTGGATCAATACATTGACTCCAGTTGTAACCTATCTTCTATGGTGTAATACAGATGTTACAAGTCTTTTATCAGATACTGCTATTAAAGCTATTGTGGCTTATATATCTGACTATGTGACCAAGCCAGGCTTGAAGATTTATAGCATCTTTGATGTTGTAAGAACCATCTTTACAAAAAATAGTGAAATGTTGAGCAGCTCATTAACTCGAGTAGAAAAAGCACGTAAGCTAGTGACTCAAATGGTGAATGGAT